TATTGTATAAATACGATAATATAATGTGCAATGAATATTTACAATGAATTGAAGAGTACATTATAATCTAGTAAAACGATGGACAACTATTCCGGGTATATCAGCACCCATAGCAGAAGTTAATAAAATTGAACATTCGAATAAAAAATAATTTAAGATATTCTGTAACAATCATACAAAATGAATAAACAATACTATTCCACTATATTTTACTTACTATTTGCGCATACCTACTATTTTACTTAATGAACACAATTCCAAATGTTACTCTGCTTAGTAATTATGAGAACAATTGTTAAACAATACTTAGGGTTCAGCTTCAAACATTAGAAATAATATTGGTTGCAAACAAAGAAAAAAATGAAGAAAAGCATTAAACACTATATTCTCCACTTTTCTGCTACATTTTCAAATTTACATTAACAATGTTCATAATCACAAGCAAACAATTCAGGTGTACACGTATTATAAACTGTAATCATATATAGATTACCGTGTTTTGTAATTTCGTAGAAAATTTTTACATAATATAAAACAGGTGAAATTACGACTTTCGTCAGTCATCAATTGAGTTTTATAATGTGCAATTAAATCGTCGATAAGAAAAATTATTAATTCTTCTGAGTGAAAGAAAAATATACAATATAAATTACAGCTATATTAAAAAATCAAAGAACATTGTAAATCACCGTACAAACTGATATTATATTGTGGATAATAAACATTTCAAAAATTTCACTTTTGATTTAAATGGACACTTTTGTGTCCCCATCCATTATTATCATTCGATCTCAATTCAAACGCAAATTAATTGCACAGAACTAACGGACAACCAATTATTAATGACAAGGATCGGCAACACCTTTCTGCACCAAAGTTTCTAACGATGGAATTAGCAAAGAAAACAAAAATATCGAACGAAAATGTTGATAAATGCGCGAAAGGATAGTGGTGCCCTACATGCATGCAGTGCATTGTATCACAATAGAAGATACAGAACCTAGCATCATATTCTCTGCTCACGATGTATGGTGATGTTGATACGAAGAAAGATATTGACGTTCGATTCACAAGTTTTATTATTTACAAGCAACTGATCTATCATACAAATGTAAATTTGGTGGACTTTCTTGAAGAATCTTTCTCATTGTATTGAAAATTTAATTTGTAGGAAACAACAACAATGCCGTGGCTAAACGTATTTTTTGGTTTTCCAAGTGGTACAGATTTCTTTGTACCCGATAACACGTGATGAATGAATAAACATACATAATTAAATAAATTAAAACGTACTGCAGGATACATGCCTAGCCAGAATGGATTTTAATAATCACATGGAAGAATTTCTATTTAATTCAATAGTAGTAACAAGTTAAAAATCCTTAAAAAAATTATTAATCATATCGGGTTGATACTGTTACATTTTTACAAACAAAAAAAGAAAACGCGTGACACGTCGCATAGTACATAAGAATCAATGAATTAGTTTACAACTTATCTAACCGTTACTACTACCAGATTAAATTGTAGAGCGGGCAAAAAGACTTATAACTGAGAAATATGTCGTATGAATGCTATTTAACCTACACTGGCATTAAAACGATTATGTATTGTGTCAGATAAATGTCTTTCAACAAATAGATATACTCTGTGCTGTGTTCGGATATTAAAAATCTTTCAGCTTTGGGAGAATTCGTTTGACATAGTTTCATGCACGTGTACGAAAGTTTTGAAATTATTATCTATGATTAAGGGGAGATTTGCGTCCGGGATTTTATGAAAATGTTGATGCAGAAAACTCCAAATGTTTATCAGCTACATACGCATGTACAGTAATCGCTCCATAACTGTAATGAACTCAACAGAAACGGGTTACAATATATATAGAGCCAGAAAAGAAAACCTTGCTATTATGGAACCACTACTGTAAATTGTAAGAAATCCATAGTTTAAATTCGGATTATCACCAAGCAACTTGATTTCTTTTCCAAGTTTTTCCTTATTTGCTACTATCCTACGCTCTCATGATCTTCGTTAATATTTGTGCTCTTTAGTAGGATTTCATAGATGGTAAAATAACTCGATAATCCGTAGATAATCGACAGTTTTAACGTCTATACAGATTTTTAAGAAACTTCATGACCAGTCGTGCTAATTGAAATTTCAAATCTCTGGTGTTTCAAAAACCCGAGAAATTTCAAGATTTCTATCAATTTGAGGAACGGCCGACTTCTTTAAGAGCGCAAAAGCTTTGAAATGCCGAAGATTTACCGAAGCACAGAATATTTGGTGATTTTTGAATACTTGACTTCATGTTCCCACACGTGTCTATTATTGGGTTATAACAAGTATTCGTCCTGCCTTCTTTAGTGTTCTTAGGGCGGAAAAAACGGAACGAATTTATGTTACAACCTAATATTTAACAGTCGTTTATCAGAAGATGTATGTTCAATGGACGATCATTCGGTGCTGGTCAAGTGTATCTTAAGCGATCTCTCTTGTCGGCGTCTTGATCGCGTAAACGATCTCTCTTCTTCTTTGTCGAACTGACTCTTTATTTTGGATAGTTCCTTTTTGTACCTGCTATCCCTGACGAAACAAAAGAGGAAACGACATTGAATTTATTTCGTCAGCTGTAACTTCCCTTTATACGTTCTACGTACCTATATAAAAATAGAGAACCATTATTAATATCGAACTCAACATCTGAATCTTGCCCATGCCATGTTAACTTCCTCTCCAAATCAAGGGGTATGAACATTAGTGACATTTCATCATCTGCTTTTGCTATCTCTATATATTCTTCAGGTATAAACGCCACCACAGACAGCTAAGTGAAAACATAAAATAGTTACAAAATTGTATGTGTCCACAGAGTACACAGTCATGAAGGGAATATTTGAATTATGCAGTTCGCTCACCTTTTTCCTCATTTCTGCTATAGACTTCTCATCCATAACAATCTCCTGACAAACTTCGTGTAAGCGGTCCACGTTCCCAACACGCACTATAATTTGATTGCTGTTGGTAACAGGATCCTCATCAGGTAACTTTTGTATGACAAATTCGGATTTCGAATGCAATTGCATATCATCAAGTTTCTGATCATCCAAATATACTTTAGTCGCTCGCGTTAGGTGTTTCTCCCTTAGTCGACATCTCTTCAATGGTATCTCTATATCATGTGCATCCTTAATATTTTCTAAGATGGCTTTCTTCGCCTCGCCGACAGTTATGTCTCTAGATAAGATCCAAGCACCCAGAAACTTGAAGAACTGCGTAAAATATGAGAAAACGGATGCGTCAATAATATCAAGAATACCGAAGGAACTGTTTATAAATACTGCATCGATCCAGGAACTTACGTTATCCGTTTCAGGATGCAACTGATATATTTTTATTCTAAAATCAAAGAAACGCCCAACTTTCACTGTGAAATAATCATCTTCTTTATACTCCAAGATGTTCTCTTGAAGTTTGTAGTACGCATAATCCTCGATATCTTCAAACTTGTAGGAAATTCTAAAACAATCTATTGGTACACCGATATATGGCGCCAATTTTTTCTTAAGCATACCGTAATTCATCATTCTGGATACTTCTACTTTGAGAACTGCAATAAAAAGTGTCGAATCAAGCATGATATCGTTTTCGTGATCTACGTATATAGAAATGCTATTTGCCTAAATATGCTAGTTACAGATAAATTACTTCTAAGAAATGTTACTTCATACATTGATTGCCATCCTCCTCGTAGGATGTAGTTTTAAAGTAATATTCTTTATCATCAGTCTCGGCAATCGTATTGGATGGACGGTGAATTAAATCTTTCAACTGCATGTACGGATCATTAAAATCGTCAAATTCGAGAGCATCTCCGACCAATGTTTTATCACTATCGCTGAGGCTGCTGTCCTCGCTATTACTCTGTTCCGGCGTGTTCCATTTCTCGTTTTCCCCTAACTGTGGACTCGCGTTCTTTACCGATACATCCTCGTTACTCTTTCCTATTTTTAGAATCTCATTACTCTTAGGAGTACCGATATGATTCGAGTCGCTACTACTTCCTTTGGATGGACTATCAGCGCTGGATTTCTCTGTATCTTTACATCTTTCGCCTAACGTCGAATTATTCCATTCTTTCCAATAACCTGCGATTCAATTGTATCATATAATACATCGTAAAGTTCCAAAATAATGCAACACTTACGTTCATTTATTTCACTACTTTTACTCGGATCAGGAAGTTTCAACCGGAACGTGAGGATATTTTTGTGATTCGTGTAACTCGATATAATGTCTGCCGCAGTTGCTGCCTCAATCAATGACATCCATTCGTCGTTATACATGGTCGTCACAAACACATCAGTGTCGTCGGAAAGGCTGGTGCTACTCAATAAACTACATTCATCATCATCCATCAATGTTAACTGCTTTCCCGGTTCGCCCAGCATCACTGCCATTTTACTAGGCTTCATACCGAATAAAATTGCTAGCATTTTTTTATATTCTTTAATTGGTTGAGAACGCAAGGCTCGCAGTTTCAATGGACCTTCCGTGACCTTCTTTTCAGCGACATCAAGGACATATACTTTTGACGTGATCACTGTATATTGTGAACAGAACAAAAAAATGGATTTAACGTAGAATCAAGAGAGAGTGCGCGATAGCAATAATAATCTACATACCGTCCTGTTCATTCTCCGAAGACTCTTCATTCTCGTCTCGTATTTCTAAAAGCAAAGTGTACGCTTCTCTTCGCCAAACACTTTCGAAAGTTCTTCGCTCCATCCCCTCGTAGCGACACAAAACCCGATGCTTGAGGGGATCGTAACGAACCAAACGACACTGTTCGAGATTTACTTTCCATTCCAAGTTAAACATCTGCCAACAGAGTTTTGTAGCTCCGTCCCAAGTAATGTCGCGGAAAAGATCTATCATGAACCACTGCATTTTGGAAGGATATGAACAACCAACTAGTACTTGAATCGAAGATCTTCGTTTTAGGAATGAGACGTCGTCATTTGGTTGAGTACGAATTTGACTATCCTCTGAAGATAACTTCTTTTTTAGATGCGTCTCTATCATTTCCCTGTAAACCCTCCGAGTCATCGTATTGATGTCCTTCTTGTCATAAGGAAGACACCACCTTTCTCTTCTATCGTAGCCCTCGTTTTCCTTCATTTTCTTCAATAATTTCTAAAAGAATTTGGTAAAATAAAATTTCAATTCAAGGGAAGGAGTGCAGATAGAAATGTAATAAAATTGTTACGATTTCATATATTACCTGTATATGGCATGGAAAATCTTGCACTTGCATAGGCAAAACGTTACGAGCAGGATCAATTTGTCTATACATAAGCATGTATGCGTTAGTACTACTACACGATGCAGTATGGTATGACCTATACTGAATTGGGCCACCGCCATACGTTTTTTGAATATCATCATTTGTTATCTACAATTGAACTCATAATTTTAGCGCTACTATACGATGTAAAAGTAAATCAAGATTTACTACTCGTTATATATTATTATCATTGATATAAACACGTATGTTCATACCTGAGTAACACTTTGATCGTTAAAGCACAGCCATTCTTGTGTTCTGAAGTCTTTTATGTAAGCATAATAATGACCACCGCAAGCACTGCCGCTGTGTATCATAATTGAAAACAATTCATAATTATAACGGCCTTCCGAAGTGTTATTATCACGATTTTTGTCGTTTTCATAATTATGTTCAATACAATTTGACGTTGATGGACCATTACTTAGGACGTCTACTCCTGAATTAAATGAACTATTTTAATTAATTTCCTTGCATCTTCGTTACCTTACGAAATCATCATACCTTCGTCGTCGTCGTCTGGATCATTATTTTTTGAATGACTGCTATTGGAAAGACTATTTTCACATGGAGTGTAATCATCATCTAGAGTTCCACTATCTGTTGTTGAGCTGTCATCACATTTCACTAAATTCGTGTTCTTCTCATTAATCGAAGATTCTTCATTTGTCGTAGACGATATGAATCGATTTAAGTTCAATATATTTGGGAAAGTGACTCTGATATTATAAAATTAAATATGAAAATACGAAGCTTATAAGAAATGTATATACGGAATGTTAGTTCGTGCACGCTTACTTGTCATTGAGTTTAACTCTGCGAAAAGTGTTGAAATCGAAATCAAATCGTTTAAGATGCAACGTCAAAAGATATGGAAATTTTATGAATTTTAAACCTTTGTGTGCATCACATTTTTTATTACACTTTTCACAATGATACTGGTTGCTTCCTTCTAATGTCTCATGCTGTACAAATGCTCTTAAGGCTTCTTCCTATTAAAAATAATTTTTTGTATACATTTAATGCATATATCCGCTTTTTATTACACTCAACACGTAGTTTGTGTTTCTTGAAATGTAGGGTTATAAACATACCACGCTATTGTATGCTACATTCCTACCAAATGGTCTTACTGGCAACGGTATATCAAGAAAAGTATCTTCCCTAGACTTTTCAGTTCCACATTCTAGACACTTAACATAATCGATCATCGTTCCTATTAACATAAAAATCAGATGACAAATATTTTTTTAATGGTTATAATAACTCTGATTTGTACCTTCGTAAAACCTGTTGATTAAATCGGCTTGTTCCGTGTTTATAAATTTCTGTTCTAACGCATCAAACATTACCCTACAAAGTTCTTGAATGTCATGTTGCTGCCAGGCTTCTGTGGAATCCCAACCAAAGCTTTTTGTTAACGCCGTAGTTTCCACAGCCGATCTTGATGATGTCTGCAAATATATATATATATATATATATGTCCTCATTATGGGACTTATCGAAATCGAATCATACCAAAAATTATGATTAACTACTTATAATATCAATACCTGTAAGTTTAAGAATAATTTTTGCAACTGATAAGGAATACTGGTAGTTTCATCTTTTTCTGATCCACCCGTGTATTCCCAATTGTACAGTGCATTTCGAAATTCTGGGGTCATGTACAATGCTTGGAGTAAACTATTTAAATAACATGTCATTGCTTGGTTTACCAAACCGACGTAACCTGAAATAATAAAATGTTAAAGTAGGAGTCAAACAAAAATATTAATAGAAAATATGTTCTAAGAAAATAGCAGTGCTGTAATGAGTTTTGATTCCATACCTGTTTCAGGTTTAATAGAACTTATAAAATCAACATTATTATCTTCTTCCAATACTAATGAATGATGAAGAGATTCCTGATGAAGAGGTTCCTGCTCAATACGTTCTGACAGAGCAGGACGTGTAGTATATATAACAGAAGGTATATCGTATCTTGGATGAAAGATATCCATCGTCAAAGTGTCTGTTGGCCTCACAACGAAGAGTCTATATTTATTGTCTTCATTTTCTGAGAAACTTACATCAATTTCGGACATAATTTTATTTTTCATTTCAGATAAGTCGATCTAATGATAGTAAGATAATATTAAATTAATTCGGATGAGTGTACATTCAAACAGGATAATAAAATAAGTATAAATATTAACCAGTTTCCCACTTGCATCCAGGACAAGCTTAAAGTTATCAGCCTGTATTTGATAGTTCTTTTCGATGTAATCGTACAGATTTTTAACACTGGTTGTTGAATTTAGGGGATATGACAATTTCTGATCCACTAGATGAGACTTGTCCATCACATTAGATATATAAATTGGACAAGAATTAATTATGGAATCCATGATCTGTAAATAAAGTAAGTCGATAATTATGATATAATTCAATGAATACTTAAATTAAAGTAATGCTTTATATGCATCAATGATAAAGAAGTTTATTATTTGTAACATAGTCTAATGTACATCACTGACAGCTTCTGCCTTCTAGCCTGAGTCGAATATTTAAGTATTAGTACAAGGTAAATAAAAACAAATCAATTATTTATTTTCTCTTGCTATAATCCTCTTCTCAATCAATAGACATATTGTTCTAAGTCAATGCGAAGTGACATTATTACTATAATTTACAAAGAAATTTTATGTCTTAAATTTTATTCTTTCTACTATGTTTAGTCTGCAAGAAGCTTAAAACTGATCACCATATTCCTTTGCAATTTATAGTTTGCTGGTAACAAAGACGCACAATTTGGTACAATGGATTCTTTTTCGTGGTTACCAATTATATATGTACATATATGCTGCATGAACATTATATCTGAAGCGTTAGTTTAATATTATATATAAATATTTCATTGAGCTGTAACACCAATAAATATTACCCTATGTATTATTAGAGAATAAAGGCGAAATCACTTTGAAATATGTTATTTATTATTTAGAAATAAGTAACAGAAATTTATTAGTAATTTTCAGACAAATAAAATTGGCATCAAGCCATGCTAAAGGTGGAAAACGAGTGAAATCTATGCAACACAGTGAGATAATACTCTGCACAGTATGACACAGTAAGTAAAGCCTATAGAGCCTCCAGTTATATTTAGAATGTCTAAACGAAGACTTGGAAAATGGCTCTCTTCTCCGAGATCAGAATTCTCCCCTCCTTTTCTCTTTTCTTTCTCACTCTCTGAGAAAGAGATTGCCAAATAATTGAAAGTCTACGATCACCTTACAAAAATGTGACTTATTTTTTTATCTATTTATCATCTAATAATAGACAAGAAATAGAATGCGGTTGCATTAATCCGTAATGTAATTGAACATGTTCCTGTGTTACTAAATCGAAAATAAAATACGTTTACGTTTGAATTATTTATTAACAAAATTATATTAAGAACTTCAGAACAATTAATTAGAAGATTGAAACATTTAACTCGAATCAAGCATAAACAATCTATTTCTCTCAAACTGTTATTGCTATAGTTATTATCTTATACATACGAAACTTACCTAACAGTCCTGTTTTATAGAAAATATGCTTTTTGTCAGAATAAGTTATAGAATCCAGTCTGTGTGTGTGCCAACTGATATTTTTCAGTCTAAAAGATTGAAAGTGATTGCAAGGTTATTATGTCAGGTCCACAAAACTGAAAGAATCTCTAGTTATAAGACTAACATTTTTTTTTCAACTAACGACGTTATTGCATGGTAACAGAATTATATTTCACCACCTATGTCTTTAATCAAACGATCTTTCAGATGAACGATTAGTATCATGTCTTTAATTTCTATGGATACTCGTTGCAAGTGCGAAACAAAGAATAATCTTTCATTTTTTTTTTAAATTTTCTTTCGTCCGAACGAAAGGAACAATTAATAAACAAATGAGTCAGGAACTTTTAACCATCGGCTGCCGTAGTGCGCTAAAAGAAGTCCGACAGTGCCGGGTCTTCCTGACCCATTCACAATGCCTTAGCGCGGTATTAAAACTGGAGCACTAATTTAGGTTCCGAAATTGACTTTATATTATTGTACACTGGGTGATCTATGTATCTCCAGGCCTGACCCGTTCCGGTGGCGGACGGTTAAAAACAGAAACGTGGGCGATACACGCGAACGAAACACCTTAAATATCGTGTTTAGCGGAGGTTCTAAAGATAAAAACAACATATACTAAAAACAAAAATCACAGAACAAGGAGTCCACAAAAAACATGAGCACAGCTTAGATTCTTCTCACTCGATTCTTGCCGGTTGTTGTAGGAGCCGACAACGGAGAACGTGTAACTCGCGATTCAAAATATTTATGCGATGAAAAAGCAACAAGACGTAGACGAACAAAAATTGCGGATATAACATAGAGAAGATCGAAATGCACTCTCGTGCCAATGGAAGCGAGTTAGAGGACGAACGTTCCTTTTTGTTTCCGTATTGATCAGCAAAACATCGTCCGGTACGGGATACAGAATTCATCGGTGATGTTTAGCGGATTAATAGAAACCCAAACATCGAATTGATACAATACCAGTTTGTTATCCCGACACTAACAAGAACGAACATATCCGAAGGTCTTATGAAATGGCTGGTCGAGTACATGCTGCGTCACAGTTTATATGCCTTGGAATCATTTGTATTTAAATAATTCGCTCGGAAACACAAGATTCCCGCACGTTTTCTTTATTCTGTGACACCTAACTAACATTCCTTCACGTACAACGTTGGAAACAAAGTCAACAGCAAGATCCGATTCCTTACCGAAATCACAAAATGCGCAACATTCACTTTACGCCATATTTCCTAACTGTGAACATGCTTTACGGTTTCGACGCTAGGTGGCTACGAATACCAGCTGTTTTTCGCGGGCACATTGACAGATTTAACCAAAGCACGGAATACATATGTGTGTGTCAGAAGTAGAAGTTCAAACCCGTGTGAAGCTAGCTCCACCATATCAACCGATATCGTTGAAACGTCAAAAAAATTGCTCTTCAATTATCCATAATCGATCATCAATTAGTTTTAATTGCTCACTTATCCTTTTCGAGAAATATCCATAAAACTTCTTCGAGGCGACTAGGGACTTTCGCGAGAGGCTGGAGACTTTTAATAATATGACATATGACCTATCAAAGAGTTACTCTTTTTTACGATTATTGTTCTACATAATTATTTTTAATTGCTTCTACTTTTCTAAAAATCATCGCACGGTCTCGACTCCCTGAAGTCGGCCGACGATACACGCGAAATTAGTCGATGATATAGTAGAATATCGTAAACAATTGTTTTTTAATTGTTCCTTATCGTTCCTTTTTTAGTTTGAATTGCTTCCAAACAATTATATGTTATACCGACTCAACAATTGCCCCCTATTTCATTGAACAATATCTTAAATAACGCGCCCATTACTGTCCTGCAATTAGTTTTATTTGCTCTTTTTCCACATTTCATGAAATTTAAAAACAACCAAGCTGCCAGTTCCCCTTCCCAGGCTAGATATCGCCGAGCGGTGTCTTCCAAATCGCCAAGAAAAATCATGAATAGGATTACATACATAGCAGAGCCCCTTAAAATTGTTATTTTATTAATTGTATAGCAAAGAACTTATCTTTGAATTTCAAACGTGGCGCTCATAGTGGCGGCGCCATTGAACGAATTTAGCACGATTCAATTCGTCGTAGTAGAATTGTGTATTTGTACATATTCCTATGTGTACATAATTTCCGCGGCACAATTAAGACGATTTAATGAAGTGCAATTATTTGATCACGTTTTATTTGTTTACTCGATGCAGTGTTCATATTTCGTTAGATTTCATTTCAAATCTACCCTCTCCCAGGTCAGAGAAACATCTACCAAATGGTTCAGTTACCTATATCCGATACGATGATACATAACGATTCCATCGAATGCAGTTTTTCTCGTTATTAATAAAAATTCGTATTAAAATGGACAACGTCGTGGACCATGAAAATTGGTTTATCCGTGTGATGTTTACGGTTCGCGTTTACTACTAACGAGAAAGCTTAATGTACATGCGTAAAAAATGCGAACCAATAATGTAGAAAATGTCGTGTTGCATGTACATATATATGTAAACATTACGCAACATAGCGGTTTCCAGGGGAAACGTATTCGACAGGACACCGCGAAATTGTAAATCGTGTCGTGACCACGGCTACTACGTTTGGAGCAGTGATACAGTTTTTATTGTGTTTGGTGGCGGGAGTTCTTTAGTTGTTGGTTAGAAACCAGTGACCGTGTGTTATCACGGTTGGAGATTTTGCTTGTGAAATGTCAAAATGGCGTCTTCGCAGGACGCTTGGTATCTGTCGTTATTAGGACTAGCAGAAAACTTTCGAACGTCAAATCCGCCGAATATCAAGTCGTGTATACAGTGCTTGCAAGCGGTTTTCAATTTTAAACCACCCCCAAGGGTCGAAGCGCGTACTCATCTTCAGCTTGGTAACATCCTCCTTACGCATACCAAAAACATCGATTTGGCGCGGTCTCACTTAGAACAAGCGGTCAGTCTCAATATTAATTGTATTATAACTACGTATATTTAGCATTCTTCGGTGTTGTCTGTAATTATTACCGTGTATCTCTTTGCGAATAACCGTAGTTCTGTTTGCGGCGATTCTAACCTTTCTTTTTATTTTGGTACTGTCGGTAATGTAACGCAGAACGATTAGAATCACATTGATGTGTCAGTGACATTACTGAAATAGCAGATAATTATATCACGATACAAATAGTCCGGATCGTTTAACAGTTTACATTGAATTTCAGTGGCGTTTAAGTCAAAACATAAACACCTTCGATGATGTTAAGTTCGAAGCAGCAAGTGTAGTCGCGGAACTGTATGAACAACAACAACAACCAAATCTCAGTAAGCCAATATTAAGGAAAGCTATAGAACTTTCTCAGCACAATGTATATTGGCATTGCAGACTTATTTTCCAACTTGCAGTAAGTAATACATAATTTTGAGCAAATTTACAAGGTAACTCGAATTAAAATTGACCTTATATCGTTTGTTTTAGCAAATACATGCATCGGAAAAAGATTTTGTTGCAGCAAGTAGTTTGCTTGCTGTAGGTGTTGATTACTCTCATATTAGCAATGCAAGTTATACAAGAGTTCTGTTCTTATTGAGCAGATGTATGCTATTATTAATAGACAAAAAATTTACTGAAGTTCATCCTCTCTTAAATTCGGCAGGCCATCATGTAGAAAATTGGCAGGGTAGCCCACATCAGAAAGAATATTTAAAAGTATATTTTTTGGTACTTCAAGTTTGTCATTACTTAATGGCAGGCCAGGTGAGTAAGAAGCATTGTTACGTTGTCTTTCTTAACAGAAACATTTGATTTTTGTAAATCCTATTATCATTTTCGACAGGTGAAAAGTGTTAAGCCTTGTCTAAAACAATTACAACAGAGTATACAGACTATAATGTCTCCTAGTTGGCCAGCCGACGAAATAGTTACAGGTTCAAACATTGGAGATATGTTTATATGGATGCCAAAGGACCATTTATACGTTTTGGTATATTTAGTAACAGTTATGCATTCGATGCAAGCCGGTTACATGGACAAAGCTCAAAAATATACGGATAAAGCGTTAACTCAAATTGAGAAACTCAAAAGTAAATACAGCGTAAATGTGTCTTAATGTTCCACTGTAATTTCAAATTGAATGCAATAATCGTGCTTTTTTTACAGGTGCTGATAACAAACCTATACTCTCCGTTTTTCAATTAATGCTATTGGAACATATAGTGATGTGTCGACTTGTAATGGGAAATAAAAGTGTAGCTCTAGCAGAAATTTCTCAAGCGTGTCAACTTTGTAGAACCCAGCCAAGGTTACTTCAAGGTCATAGGCCGCAATTACATGCTTTATTAGGATTGTATGCAATGTCAATGAATTGTATGGAGGCTGCAGAAGCACAGTTTACAGCAGCTCTCAGGGTAAAATTATAAATATAAGTAAAACCATTTGATTTGTTGTTTATGGAATAATTTATAGCTGATTATTTTCTTTAGACGTCACAAGAAAGAGAGCTTTGGACGTTCGCGAATTTAAATCTGGCAATAGTATACCTCAGAACTAAAAGAGATAATGAACTAGGTGCTTTGCTAGAACGAATAAATCCCGAATCTTTGCCATCTCATTCGCATTCTTTAAGAGCAGCAGCGTACTACGTACAAGGACTTCAAGCGTTTTTTGGAGCTAGATACAACGAAGCAAAGTAAGAATTTAAACATAATGCTGCAACTAGTAATTTGTTGTTATACCAATTATCTTAATCGTCGAAATTTGTTCATTTATTTTCAGGAGATATCTCCGTGAAACATTGAAAATGGCGAATTCTGAAGATTTGAACAGACTTACGTCGTGTAGTCTTGTACTTTTAGGACATATATTTCTTTCTTTAGGAAATAGCAGAGAATCTATGAATATGGTGACACCAGCGATGCAGTTAGCTTCTAAAATACCTGATGTTCATGTACAATTATGGGCTACTGCTATCCTGAAAGGTGAGCGCTTGTTTTAGCGGATTTAATTGGAAAATATACGTGTATCATATTTTTATAAATTAGAGCATGAAAATATTGACCACGATTTTTCTGTGATTGCAGATCTTTATAGAATTTGCGGAGATCCGAATCGTGAAAGTGAGGCGTATCAAATGCATTGTAATTTTTCGCAAACGTTGTTGAAAGATCATTTTCAAAGCACACAAATGGGTGAGCACTCTCTCATACAGTGGACTGACGGGACAGTGCCAGCCTTACCAAGCAATCCACCACCTTCCACATCACAAGCCATTCTTTAATATTATTCAAAATTTCTACATTTAATGAGTGTAATTTGAAACGTGTAACATATTTTGGCGGAGCACAGACATGTGCTAGGTTTGTACAATTTTATTGTTAAATTACAAAAGGAATAATAATAAAAAAAGGCTAGAGGTACCGATAAATTGAACAACGTCAAGAGCCGGAGCTCTGTTACGTGGAAATTAATGAAATTGTTTATCGTACCGCAAAAGAGTAGTAAGTGGAATTGCGATTAGAATGGGAGATAATTAATTTAATTTGCTATGGATATCGATCAATATCCAGACTCGCTAATTATTATTCGAACCTTTTCAAGGACACTATGAATCACAGAGTTTTATTTGCGAAGTTTCATAAAGATTCTATATTATACATAGATTTGTACAAACAATTTACTGTAGTTGTTTTCTACGTCACAGAGGATATGCAAGAGATGAACATATGTATAGAACTTTGATATATTTTATTATTTTGTATATTGTAAATTATCTTGAACTTCTTTGTTTTCTTCTTTTGTAATTGTATACCTGCGAACCAAGAGAAGCAAAAAAAAATGAAAAAAAAGACGACAACATTGATGTCGAGATTGTCGAATCAGCACACGTTGAATGGGAATTAGACGTTTCTTTGATGTAATGGTTATACCACCGCACAAAGACTTTTCGAAACCAAGCTTAAGTTTAATTTATGCTGTAAAGATAGTAACAAGGGTTATGAGTATGCATTATCACTTATGTTTGTATCGAGAGGCGTATTAAAAGTACGCCAAGAAGTGTTAATGACGTTCCACGAGAAAGGACACAATACGTTTGGCTGAATTTCATTCTTTTACATATCATTTGCTCTCTAGAAAACAAATTCGTCCATATGTGATGCTGCAGGCATAGGACATAATAAAACGAAACGTAACATTAGTATTTTATGATTACTCCTTGACTTCATTCGCATACTTTTTTAAATTTAGAATTCCTATACATTTTTATATTTACATAATGTCTGCTTAGTTGGCCGTTGCAACAATTTAAATCTAATCTGTTGTAGTATTAAATTGTGATCGATTTATATCTAAGCAAGAAAATAATCATCAAAAGTCAAATTTGTATTGAATTGAAAACTTTTATGCATCATTGGAAAAAGAAAAATGGTAAATAGAATAACGATTATATTTTCAGCATACTATGCTCTTAAATGACCAAAGTAGGCGTTTAAGTTCGGGCTGTGGACATTATAGACATATACGTTCATAAAAAGTGTACTCTTGTACATGGATATAATGGAGTAATAGATACAATAGGTTGCAGGTTGGCTTTTCTTTTTTACAGAAGTACCGTACCTATCGTATGCGTGGTGCGTATCAGTTGATGTGTTTTTATTAAGCAACGTATGTATGTAATGTACAATTAAAATAAACAGAATCGTAATTAGTATTAGATAGAGCAATATATAAAGAAGAAAAAATAAAGGGGCCTTAATATGTGGTAAGCTGAATGGCAAAGATGTTCTGCCTAACTCTTTGCTTCGTTTAAATTAAGAAATTGTACATATTTTAAATAGTGAAAATAATAAAGAATAAAATAATGAGAATATAATTAATTACATGTCTGTAAGAATGTTTTATTATTTTTTATACGCATTCTTGTGATGAAAGTTAGTTTCCAAGTTTTTTATTCAAAACTCAACTGTGGTTAAAAATGATAACAGTTTGCATAAGAGATGAATACCTTTATTTTTCAGGAATTTGTATGACCTATAAATGCGTAAAAATATGTTAATCACTTTCAGTTACTAGAGAAACCAATTTATAATTACAGTGGTTTACCTTAATTACATTTCATACTTTAATAACACAAATCTTTATACATAGATTGCTACAGAGTTCAGGTACCTACACATTATTTTCTATACCACAATTGCATTGTCTTCATATTCTTAACTTTCTTCTGTAGCTGCAATACACCATACATCAAAGCTTCTGCAGTTGGGGGACATCCTAAAGTGTCATTACATGTACAAATATGGTTACAATCTATCAATAGACAAATACACACTTGGATATACATATATATATATATTAAATGTATTACCTGGCACGTATATGTCCACAGGTATAATTCTATCGCATCCTCTGACAACAGAATAACTGTAATGATAATAGCCTCCACCATTGGCACAGCTTCCCATTGAAATGACCCATCGTGGTTCGGGCATTTGATCATATATTCTCCTCAAAGCTGGAGCCATTTTATTTGTCAAAGTACCAGCAACAATGATAACATCAGACTGTCTTGGAGATGCTCTGAATACCACCCCATATCTGTCCATATCGTATCTGGGTGCAGCAATGTGCATCATTTCGACTGCGCAGCAAGCCAAACCAAATGTCATCGGCCATAATGAACTCTTACGCCCCCAGTTCAAAAGATCATCTATTCTGGCCACTGCATATTCTCCTATGCCTTTGGTATCTTGGAAAGGGCTGTAAGATTTCCTTTTCTGTTTTTCTGGTAGCTTAATATCGGCCATATTCCTAGTTTGAGACGTTAAAGCTGCAGGACATCCTGAAAGAGCTGCATTTTTGGGAATCAGGGACAATAAGCCCTGATTCACAATGGCTGAAAATTCAAAGGATATTGTTGTAGATTTAAAATGTCGGTAGAATTAACAAAAAAATGTTTTTTCTTATGTCATATATCAAGTACAAATTATTGTAGCACTTAGAAGGATCAATTACATAGAAGCATTGTTTTTTCTTTTTATTTCCGTGATCAGTTCATTCTAATTCTGGAGGTTATGAAACATGTTGCAATGCAACTTGATGCAACAGTTCATGTCAACCGACAAGAACCATAATGTTAGATTGACTTGTTTGAACAAGCACATCTTATGCAATACAAACTGTTATATAGGATTCGGCACAAAGTAGTATCACGATGAAGTATCTATGGAACACATACACACATTCATGAAGAATCGACCACAACGAATATGGAATTATTACGCTAATTTATCAATTCGTAATTTCACTCGATGGATGATATTGTAAATGGTTCAAATCTATTGTAGGAAAACTTACGCGAAAACATAATAGAACGCAGCATTTTCACCTCAACGAGACACACTCACGTCCGGAGGTGTCTGCTACACTACGATTCTGCGCATCAGTGCATTGGAATTGAATTGTGTTTACAACATGTACCGTTATCTATGAATTATATCCTATATCGAGTACACTGTTTAAGAATAATTACCGTCGTGACGTGAATTAAACCAACGTAGTTAAGGAATTCTATGAATAAATAACCTATTTCATTTCACTAAATCTATTTTCGTTTTGATGTTAACTTTTGAAACGACCATTGTTATCTGCCGATTTTGGCGCCGCATTTGATTTTTAAACTTGGGGGGATAATAACGGTCGATACTAATTGATGCGTTTCTTGCTACAGTTAACTCATTTTTCTGTCCCAGAGTCTGTCCAAAACGCTGTGATGAAAGCGTCCACGAAGCAACAAAACATTAAATCGAGATATCGTGTTACATTACAGACAAGGATTGCACATGCCTTGCTATCAATTTCACTAAAGTCGTTAGGCGATCAAGTGCCATTTATTTAGCTTTATAAGTGAAAGAACTTTCTAGTTAGTAGAAACTAGTTTTATCTAAAATAATGCGAACGTTTTACGAAAGTTTGAAATTTATCTCAATCTTTAAACTAATGCTAGATATTTGCGACAAATAATTATCATCACGGCTTGTTAGATCAATCGTGCTGTAACATTTTTAACAGTTTTTATTTTTGAATAATATTTGAATGTTTATAACTGTTTCTAACCTCTCAGATCCACCCATCCGTAAAACAAAACTAATTCGCGGTGTCGCCGTCGCACAAAAAAATCACCGATTAATCGTGTGTTGGAGAGGAGGGGGGGTTGTCCATTGTCCATCAGTATCCCTTGGAAGTTCGTGAAGATTGCACGTGTTATTAGTGAGTGGAGAATAATTTGCTTTTAGACAAAATTGATTTAAATGTTGTAAGTTACAGTAACAAATTGTCAGTGATAACATGATCAGAAGTCTGATGTTGTTATTTTTCGCAGAATCCCGGCATTTTCATAGGTAAGGTTAAAGTTTTGCTTTAATGTCCTTTGACAGAATTCGATATACGGGGTGTCCCAAAAATGTCTTTTTCCTTCACGAAAATGCAATCTGCCGCTTTGTTTACGAGTTATTAACGAAAAACACTGACCAATGAGAGGCGAGCTCGCCTAGCGCTTGGCGGCCGAATGACTTGGTCACTCTTTTTCGTTAATAACTCGTAAACAAAGCCGTGGGTTGCATTTTCGCCAAGGACAAACTTACTTCAAATTACCTCAAGAACCTCCCATTCTCGGATTGCGAGACATCTTTGGGACACGCTGTTCTTTTGCACCGAGATATGTACAAATCGTCTCGTACAATTAATACTTCGAAGTTAATAAATCATTTTAATGTGAAAATGGGTTACTATCGGGTATTCTATGCGATTTTGCCCAGATTGGATTTAGCTACGGGGAATGTCGTTTTTCCGTTGCACTGGTAGCGGTGTACCAGAGCCTCCTGGAGTAACCGTTTGAATTTCCGACCAATCAGAGGTCACCATTTTCGCGCCTCTCTTTTTAAACAGATCAAATTAATTGCGGACACAGGGCGTGAAAAGAAAATGTCGTTCGTTCGTAGAATGTTTTTATTGGCTCAGTTCCTGTTTTATACAAAACATCTAACAAACATAGATGCGTTCCGCTGACATTTTTAAAACCTCGCCTTACGAAAAGCGACTAAACTATCGACTTCGCGGATTCTAGTCTCGCGGTTCCCAAAGGGCACGCTACAGTACGATGCAAAATACTGGTTTTTGCTTGAACAGTGCTCAAACGTCGTCGCTGCGTCTAATCGCTAGCTAGTCATGGTGATGGTCGTTAAAAAGTTCGAACGTAAGAAAGTGCCTCAGTAAACGACTAACACGCTACTTCAGCTGCGGACGGGGACGTCAGCTAGGCCATGGAACCAAATCTATACGCGTGGCTCGTTAAACAATTCGCTATATACAAAAACGGTTCCTACAATGTGTCGCTTTGTCAACAGAACCGTATTATGTTTCTCCTTCTTCCCGATAATTTTCGCCTCGCCGTTCTCTTCTTTCCCAAAAAGAAAAGAAAACAAATAGGTCAAACCGAAACGGTGTATATGTAATCGTAATTTTCTCGTTTACGTGTGTACAGTGCTACGATCGACTCGTTCGTCGTGCGCGCGTGTCGGTGTTTCGCGCGCTTTTGTGGTGTGTTTGCGCGCGCGCGCGCGTGTCTCGTGTGTGAACAGTGTTACGTGTACGTATGTATTTATGTATGAACTGCGGTGCACCGTGTTTATACTTGTAGTAGAGACTTCCGAAGAGATCTATTTAGCAAAAGTTCGTTAACCCATAAACATCTAGGTAACATTAAGTAACAACTTATACTTCAGCAACAACAACGGGATCTCTGGTACCGTTCCTGTCCCGTAACGGATCAATATTCCGGTCGACTGCCTCTATTTAGCATCGGTTGTTTATTATACTTTACAAATGTCGTAACAGTGTGTCTCGCGCGTTCGTCGCGGCCGGTCTCCGACCTGACGCGTGTGACGCGCGCGCTGCTTCCTCTTTGCACCTTGACATAACCTCTCTCCTGCATCGCTTGATCGTTTTGCATCGTTTTCGACCTGTTGTTCATCTCGTCTTGTCGACTCTCGCACTGCCGATAGGCGTGGTAATCGGCAAGACGGGTGCCTGTTTCGCGGCAAGTTTCATTCGGAAGTTTTAATTATCATTGCTTCGATAGTACAGGCGGTTATCTCTACCGCGTGTCATTGTTAAGTTCGATCTTTGCGAAAACGCAAATGCGCGGGTGAGAAGTACATAGCCAACTGGATGGCAACGGAACGGAACGGAACGTGAGAAATACGCGGGAAGAAAATAATTGCCTTCGAGTACAGAAATTGATTCGCTCGAGGATCGGTGGTAAAATAGAAAACGCCGTTGTCGGCTGTCGGTTTGGGCGCAACTGATCGAATATCGGCACGTTTGTTGTTCCGTAATAATTCCGTTCACGTCTCATTAAATTCCAAACGAAATCGATCGCGAAAATAATCGGTCACGTAGCGCCGACGGCACGAACCTTCTCGCAGTTTATAGACTACGATACCGTGGTACCGACTAATCTACCAAAATTGTGACTCTTTAGGATGGATACGCTAAACTGGTTTTTCTATAGAACGACGTCTAAAAGTCTGCAACGTCTCAATTTACGTTTGTGCGCCGTTTCTTTGTTCTTCCTCATTGATGTGCTCTCTTCTTTCTTTCATTTTTTTCTTTCTTCCCCCCCCCCCCTCTCCCTCTTTCTCTCTTGCGTATCACGTCGCCTGTTTTTCGTTTCAAACGGTTTTTCATGGTTTCACAATCACGTGCGTTCCGGTGCGCGCGATTCGCGTACGCAAATGATACTCGTTTAAAACATCAATAAAAATTCATAGAAAACATTTTGTTTATCGATACGTCGGAGATCGTTTCACGTTTCTTTTTTCTTTTTTTTTTTTACGTTTTGCGCTTTTCTTACACAGAGAAGAATTTCGAGGGGATCGATAGACACATAGCAAGCATACAATTTCGTATCGATCACCGGCCAATTTGTTATTAATACGAGTTCCAATTAATCGAAATGTTCGCGTTCGTTCGGAGGTAGATTCGCAAGCAATCCGAAGTTACGGGCTTCCGTTAACACGTCGATGTTACAGTAATGTCTCCCTAATTGACGCTCAGATTGTCTACGAAAATGGACAATTTAGGTAGAGAGGATACGATTATTCGATCCTTGCGGTTCATTTTTTATAGCTACGAATTGTCAACAGCTATAAAAACGAGCTGCAAGGCTCGAATAATCGTATCTTCTCTTCCCATTTTTGTACACAATTTGAGCGTCAGTAAGGGAGACATTACTGTATATCAATGCTGCAGATTCTATACAGTAATGTCTCCCTAACTGACGCTTAGATTGTGCACAAAAATGGACAATTTGAGAAGACGAGATACCATTATTCAAGCCTCGCAGCTCGTTTTTATACTTGTTGACAATTCGCGACTATAAAAATGAACCATAAGGCGTCAATTAGTGAGTACTTCTGAAATTCTCGAGTACAACCAATTTCTTAATCGCATCTCCATTCCGTTAAGAACGAATCATTGAACAGAAGTGCGTGACAATCCATGTGAATGGATCGACCCACCGTCGGCATTATGGTTTTTCGCTGTCGGCCATTTTATTCCCCGACCTTGCGTTTCATTGTTTCAGGCTGTTAAAAAAATCTAGAAAAAATTCTGCAACACTCATCGGACACCCCTGATTAGTTTTGAACGAAACATTCAATGTACAACGCCTCGTAAGAACGGGAACCATCGAAGTTACGTAGCAGCGATTCCTACGATAGCGTCTCCGTAATTTCAGCAATTTTCAAAGAGAAAAATGTGAAACGAGCGATTTTGAGGGTCGCGTTTACGTTCAGCGTGAAAATTTCAATGCTTAAACGACGGTTCGATGAAATTCAACGGATCGATTAAAATCGATCAAGGTCAACGAATGGACCGCGGATTTTATGCGCATTTATGATAAAAATTACCAGAAACAAATAACGAAACGTAAACGCGTTAGAAAATTTTCGTAACGTTGTTATCTTCTCGTTAGATTATAAAAATTATTAAAAGAAGACACATACATTTTTCTTCCGTCTTTCACAATGGACGCCGGACAACAGGTTTCATTTCGCAGAATGATTCGCAGTCTATCAACGATATTCGACGAATCGCAGAGAATCTGATCGAACGTTGAACGTGTTAAAAGCCGCCCGTAAACGTTGCGTCCTCAGGCGTGTCGCGCGAGCCAAATATGTACAGTAATGTCTCTCTAATTGACGCTCAGATTGTCCACAAAAATGGACAATTTGGGAAGAGAAGATACGGATTATTCGATCCTTGCGGTTCATTTGTTGTAGTTACGAATTGTCAACAACTATAAAAATGAGCTGCAAGGCTCGAATAATCGTACCTCCTCTTCCGAAATTGTCCATTTTAGTGTACAATCTGAGCGTCAGTAAGGGAGACATTACTGTAATCTGAGCGTCAGTAAGGGAGACATTACTGTAATCTGAGCGTCAGTAAGGGAGACATTACTGTAACTCGTTACGAATCCGTCGCGCGCGTGTTTCGCGAATTGCGTCGGTTGGTGGTTATCTTTTTCGAGCGGTTTTAGCGAAGATCGAAGGTTCGGTGTCGCGATAGAGCAACATTCGTATCGTATAGCGAGAGTATCACTGGCGCAGACGAATGTTTCTACGTAGCCTGTGGAAACGAAACGGAACGGAAAAGGGGAAAGGGGAAGGTGAGAGAAAGCGGCTAATGGTTAAGTCTGCGTAGTTCCATGGCTGCGATGTCATCCACGGATATAAGCTTGTCTATGGGGATGCAGGAGAGTTCGCCACCGACGCATGACTGCGGCTGCTGCCATCTGGCCTCCTTCTCGGCCTCCTTCGCCTTCAGCTCGGCCTCTCTCGCTCGCCGTTCCTTCAGCTTCAACGAGAAAATCGCGACGGATCTCGCCCTCTTCATCAGGCTCTGCTTCACCCGGGTCTTCTTCGCCTCCTGATCCTCCTTGTTCGGCTTCTCCTCCTCTTGGCTGGTTTTGCTCGAGTCCGACCGGCCGCTCGAGTCCTTGTCCCTCTCGGAATAGTGGGACGTGTGCTGTCTATGGCTGTCGTGGCTCTCCCGTTGATGATGATGCTGCTGCTGCTGTTGCTGGTGGTGGTGTTGCTGCTGTTGTTGTTGTTGCTGCTGCTGTTGCTGCTGTTGTTGCAGCTGCTGTTGCTGTTGTTGCTGATGGTGATGATGGTACTGCTGTTTCTCTGTTTTCTCTCGTTCCCTTTCCCTGTCCGGGGAGAAGCGGAACTTCTGGTTCCTGTGCGCCATCGTCCACGGCGGGGCCGACCTTTAAACCAAAGAGTTCATTCGTTTTGGGATCCCTTTGCCGGTGAACCGTGAGGATCTATTAGACGGAGTCATATAAATAACCTCCGTTTTTTTATCAGATATATATCTTTGTTTCTTTTTGTTTTTTTTTATTTTATTTATTTGAAACTCTTATCTATATAGTGAAAGGAACAACTCGTTTGGCCAGGTGACTCGTAGTTGGTAGACGCGAACAATATTTATATATTATATAATAGATTCTATAGATATATATATATATATATATTATAGAAAGATATTATATTATATAATAGATTCTATCTGACTGCATCGGAGGTTATGGTTTAGGTCATTATTTATGGTTATTAATTAAGGTAATGATTAAGGTTATTGTTTATGACTCGGCCTAATATATCTTTCTATCTGTCTAGGGGTCTTCGATGCACGATCTCGGCTAAGGAAATTTCCATTAGACCTCTACGGTTCTATATCTAAATTCTAGCTTTCTAGGAGCCTGGTTCAGATACTAGCTACTCGTACTAGGTCGAATAAGAAGTTCGATAAGATGTCTGAAAATTTAGCCTGCTAAAATAATGATCCATTGCTCGTGGTCGATTCTAAACAAAAATTTCAGTTGTTTAGTTCGGTTTGAAAGAAAGTTATACCGTTCTTCAGTGCTATTAAATATGCAAGATGTCCCGTAATTATGTTAACACCTGGGAAGGACTGATTCCTAAGGTCATTCGAAGAAACTTTTTCCTTAGCGAAAATGCAATCCGCGGCTTCGTTTACGAGTTATTAACGAAAAACACTGACCAATGAGAGGTGCGCTCGTTGGCTGAGCCGCCTCGCCTCTCATTGGTCACCGCTTTTTCGTTAATAACTCGTTAACGGTGCGTCGGAGAAAATTCTTATAAAGGAAAAAGTTGCTTCAAATGACCTCAAGAATCAACCCTTTCCGCGTGTTAACGTAATTACGGAATACCCTGTACAGCTGCCGTTTAGGTTTAATCTGTAATTGTCTGGAAAAGATGACGATGGTTTTACCAAAGATGTGCGTAAAATGCACACCTGAGGAGGTCGCTATCCGACGATGAAGCGAGCTCTTTCGAGACGATGCAGTCGGTTGATCGATGAAGATGCGGAAGCTTGTCCGTCCTTCCGTTGACGCTCCCGGCTCCGCTGATTTCGGAGTCGCTGGATTTCCTGCCGCCGGGTTCGAGGCCCAATCTTCGGACCCAGTCTACGCCCCCGTGAGGCCCGATCGTCAGGTGGTGGCTGTACTGATCCCCGCCGGATGCCTCCGGCTCGCTAGTAGTTAACCACTCTCTCGATCTCCTTCCTGCGATTAGATCAGTGTGAACGACGGCGTTGTCATTCTCTCATCGATACACGTCTAAATTACGTGTTGTTTCTTCTACGTACAGTCGCCTCGGAAAGTACGTTAACGCCTTTATCAAACGAAATAACTTTTTTAAAATTGGTCCAAAGGTCTTGAATCTTTTTGAGACGTTAGACCGACTATTTTTCTCTGGTATGATCTGTTAGATCGCGATTGAATGGAATGATAAAAATATTTTAAAAATGATGTTTTTTTTCAACTTTTTGGTATGTATTTCAGTGGCTGCAGGTTGATTATGCATGGAACGATTTCGATGAAATTTTCAACACATTTGTAAGTTACCGTGATCTAGAAAATGCATTTTTTACATTTTCGTTCAGATAAAAAAGTTGGAAAAACCACTTTTTAATTTTTTTATCATCCCAATCGATTGCAATTTAAACACTTTTTGTATATTCGTTTCAAAGAAAACTAGTCGATCTAACGTCTCAGAAATATTCAAGTCCTTTGGACTAATTTGAAAGAAGTTATATCGTTTGAAAAGGCGTTAACGTACTTTCCGAGGCGACTATATACAGGGTGTCACGAAAATGTCTCGCAATCCGGAAATGGGAGGTTCCCGAGGTCATTTGAAGCAACTTTTTCCTTTGCGAAAATTTCCTCCGAGGCTTCGTTTACGAGTTATTAACGAAAAACGCTGACCAATAAGAGGCGAGCTCGGCTGACGCGCGGCGACCCAGCCAACGAGCGCGCGGAGCCCAGTTCCGCTCATTGGCTCGGCCGTCTCGCGCCAAATGATCTCGCCTCTGATTGGTCTGTTTTTCGTTAATAACTCGTAAACGAAGCCGCGGATTGCATTTTCGCTAAGGAAAAAGTTGCTTCAAATCACCTCAGGAATCCCCTACTTTCGGATTGCAAGACATTTTTGGGACACCCTGTATGCTATTTCTGAGAAAATAACGTTCGAGGCCGTACCAACGTGAGCGACCCCCATGCTCTGTGCCCGCATAAAAGCCGCGAACTTCTACTTACGTGAAGTGGACACGAGAAACGCTACGAACTGAATTTCCGACGACCGAGTTTTTATGCAAATTCAAATTTGTGCTGCTGGTACGGTGCGCGAGACCACATTCGTCGTAACGAACTGAAATTATGTGGGGACACGAGCGATGAGGGTGAATGGGTGGTCGATTTGGTAAAATATGCCGAGAAACGTTGCAAATCGTCGTTTTCGCATTGCGCTTGGTTTAACCCTCGCGAGGCGGTGGCTGGGTCAATTATCACCCGGAGTACTTGAATCGTTCACTTGATTATTCAATTTTCGGCGATTAAATAAAATAAATTGTTGTTACATTAAGAACATCGAAAAGGTTGATAAGTCTGCAGGAAATATCTTGCAAAATATGTTTTGGAAAAATCGCCGGATAAAGTTCAGAATTGTTCTAAATATCGTCGATAATGCAATTGTGAATATGATGCGACGTACGAGGGTTAAACGAGCACAAAAATGCGAGCCGAAGTGTCGGAATCCTCATAACCGAGCAGAGAAACGCGACACGTGTGGCCGTAAATCGGCGGGAAACGGTCGGAAACGTAGCAAATCGCTGTTTTGACATTGTGTTTCGCCTAAATAAGCACAAAAATGCGAGCCAAAGTTCCGGAGTCCCCGTGTGATCGAGCAGAAAATCGGACGTGTAGCTGTGAAACTGCGAGAAACGCTGGATAAAACGTAGCAGCAAATCGATGTTTTTGCATCGTATTTCGCCTACGTAAGCACGAAAATGCGAGCGAAAGTGTTTGAATCCTCATGACCAAGCAGTAGAACGGGAAATATAGCTGCGAAACTGCGAGAAACGCTGCGAAATGTTGCAAACCGCTGTTTCGACATTGTATCTCGCCTAAATAAGCACGATAAATGCGAGCGCTAAAGTGAACATTTCGGTTCAGGATCTTTAGGACAACAAGTTTCCGAGATATTAACCCTCGAGTACTTTCGCTGGGTTTTAACTTTTATCCTACGCGTCAGCACAATTCACCTATGACGAGCCTATTAACAAATTAATTAACGCTGAGAACGTAGTATGATCCTCGCGCGGCAAGAAGGCAGCACCCTTGCGTTTACGTTGCTCCTCTTACTAGCTGCTCCACTGCCGCAGCACGCGACTGCTATTGGCTGAGAACGGTGACGAAGATCGCCGACGGCGGCCGATAGCCGGCGGTGGGGCACCTAGCGGCGGTGGGGCAAGTAAGAGGGGGAACGTAAACACGGAGATGCCTCATCGCGCAAGGACTACAGTAATTTTTCCAGGAAATGTTCGGAGGTCGGAATTGAAACTGGCGGATCTAAGAAAATTAAGTCTTCGCGATTCTTCGGGCCTCGCGGCTCTTTTTTATAGAAACTCGTGACGATCGGCGAAAAAAGGCTGCGGCCAGCATGCCGGTGTACATTAACATGTATGCACAGTAATGCTAGATTAGAAAAATTTTTTATTTCTAATTTTTTGTCGCGATTCGAAGGCACGTACCTAGTACATACCACGTAGTTAATTCTCCCTAATTTTCCTTCAGCTTTTAAACAAAAATAATCGTATTTCCTCTTTCCAAATCGTCCATTTTTGTTTACAAACCGATGGAAAATTAGGAAGAATTTACCGCACCTTGTAGCTCCACGCAGGGAAATTCACAGCAACCCGAAATTTCGCATTTTCGGTAGAAATTACTGCACTTCTAAATCTAAATCTAGAACAGTCTAAACAGCGAAGGTACTCGTAGGTCAATAGCAACTCTCTTGACACGATACACCGCGTTTCGTCCATTTTGGAATTTGCCGGCGGTGCCCAAACGGCTCACCCAGTACAATAATATCTCCCACACTGTCCCTCGACTTGTAAACAATGTTAAAAATGGACAATGTCAGAGAAATTACTGTACTTCGAGTTCCCACTAGTTCCGGCCGATTATCCCAGAAAACTTGGCTTCGTTTCGGCGAGTGATGACGACAATGCTTCGCGTCTGCATTTCGGACGAAATCAGCCGCCAAAAAAGCGAGCGACGAATACCGGCTCGCTCGCAGCGATCGAGCCAGATCCGCTCGGATCGTCCAGCCCGAGGCCCGAGGCTCCCGCCAGTAGTAGTAGTAGTAGTAGTAGTAGTAGTAGTAGTAGTAGTAGCATAAGCCGCGCGATGTCGCCGCGAACGTTTTCGCTCGCGCCTAAATATATCGGCAGAAAGCTCGTGTGTCTAAAAGGCGAAAAGGAAGAAAGGGACATATAGATCGAACCTCGTTCTCCGCCAGGAATGGAGCACCTAGGTGTATTGTGAAGGTCGCGAATGCTGCCCATGTTAATTTCAGTCAGGAAAGTTGTACCTATATCGCTGCTGCCCGCGCTGCCCGGTGTCTGGGCAGCAGACGGCGTTTCCGAGATTCTGGGCACGGAGGCTGCGCTCGGTGTCGGCGGGCTGCTCGGCGTCTGGGCGGTCGAGGCCAGGGTAGGCGTGTCCGGGAGACTCGGCGAGGTCGCGTCTCCGGTGCGATCGGTAAGCAGGTGTTCTTCGCTCTCACCGTCTGCTGGACTCACCACGAATCTCCCTGAGTTCGAGCGAAATTAATAGACGGTAGGAGTGAGAGAGAGAGAGGGGAACGTTACACGGTCGGGGGCGATTTTTTACCCGGCCGGAGGATCGGGATGGGTTCGCCGACGATACTGAACCTCGGACCCTTCTCACGCGCGGCGATATTCGCTTCTAGTTTCTCTCTCTCTCGCTCTCTCGCTCTCTCTCTAGAAGGCGATCTAGAGCTCGGCGCGGCCGTTGGCTTTGGAAAAGAATTTGATCGGGGGCTCTGGAAGCAGAGGGTAGTCAGAAAGAAATCTTGGCCGCTCGACGGGGAGCAGTAGAAACGCTTAGCCCAGGCATGCGCGCCGATCGAACACATATAACACTATATATATATATATATATATATATATATATATACAGGGTGTCCCAAAGATGTCGCGCAATCCGAAAGTGAGAGGTTCCTCGGGTCATTTGAAAGAACTTTTTCCTTAGTGAAAATGCAATCCGATGCATCGTTTACGAGTTATTGACGAAAAACAATGACCAATGAGAGGCGCGAGATCAGCTAGCGCGTGGCAGTCTAGCCGCCGCTGATTAACTCGGTCGCCTCGCGCCAGCCGTGCTCGCCTCTCATTGGCCGAACGTCTTTCGTCAATAACTCGTTAACGATGCTTCGGAGAAAATTTTTGTAAAGGAGAAAGTTGCTTCGAATGACCTCAGGAATCCTCACGTATTCCATTTCCGGATGTGAGACACTCTTGGGGCACTCTGTACATACTATAATACTAATATCGCGACTTTCGTTTATTTCAGCGATAATCAGAATGGTACTCTGCTAAAAAATAAATTATAACAGACGAATTTTGAATCGAAATTGGTCAACTTTGACCGTCGGCAATTCCGCGAAAAATCATCGTAGGATGACGAGTTTTTTTTAAATTGAAGCTTGAAACCTCTTCACATTATGTTCTTGGATTTTAGGTTTAACGCACTCTTACCACTGTAAATATTTAAATGTGAAGCCGTGTTTGTCGTATCGAATATTGCCAAATTCGATGAAATGCACGAACTTCGTCAAATTTTTTACAGAGATGACGTTTACAGTGGAATAAAGTTCGATCCTTTCCCTTTAATTTAAAAGAAACGGAACGTCGCTGCGATTTTTTTCGCGAAGTTGCAGCACTTTAAAGTAACCCTTGCATTCTTGTCATGTATCGCCGCAGCATTTGCGTTACCCGATGTGTATCACGAGGAGGTTGCCGCTCGTGCTTTACTTAACTTGAAACCGCGTAACGTGATCTTGAAGTAGAAATTTCAAGCTTTAATTTAAAAAAAAATCATCGTCCAATAATGATTTTTCATGGAGTTATCGTCGGTCAAAGTGGACCAACTTTTATGCAAAAGTTTTCTATGTTGAAATTCTTTTTAGCAGTGCATGACAAAGAATTGTAAACAACAAAATTTTAATACAACATTAGATATTATATTAATAGAATGGAATTAGTTCTGAGATAAGCTATTAAAAGGTATAAATGGTTGCAATTTGAAATAGTTGACATTTTTAATTTACTAAAACACTATTTCTATAGTATAAAAATCATTAAGATTTTATAAAAAAAAGGAAAAGGAAATATAATCATTAAGATTTCTTGTACAGTTTTAGAATAAATATTATAGTATGTCCCAGTATCAATGTTACAACCGAGAAGAGATTGATTCTACATATAAAAAAAAGCAAATAAAAAATAAAGAACAAAATTGTTTCACTTGCATTTACAACTTCAATATTTACATCGATAAAGTAAGATCAATTATGTTGCTTCCTGTGCTAGACTATGTTGTTTTTTAGGTGAATGTTTAGCGAAATTCGCTTCTTGCCCATGCCTGGCCTAAGCTATTCAACAACACGTTTGTGAACAGGATAGGTTGCATTCGGTAGAATTTCAAAGTATTTTAGGATATCTACGAAAATGAAGGGTCGAAGATCGTACATGTTATACATAGATGTAATAAGAAGACGGTGTCGCAGGAACTGTACCACCTTCAACGAGGACTGACACGAAATATAAACAGAACGTTCACGTGATAGGTGCTGCAGTTGCAGCCGAGCGTCTGTCAGACGACAATGCTCAGGGACGAATTTTAGGGGATCCTCGTCGAGGGCCCTTGCATGCAAAGTCACCTCGTACAGAAGGGCCCCAAAATTGTGATTCGGCCCTGGCCTGATCACGTGTCGGTCGCGCATGGCTATTTATTCACGTTATCCTAAAAATGTCTCGCAATCCGGAAATAGGAGATTCCTGAGGTCATTTGAAGCAACTTTTTCCTTTAGAAAAATTTCCTCCGAGGCGTCGTTTACGAGTTATTAACGAAAAAAAGTAACCAATCGGTGAGCGAGTGCGACCGTCGATCCGCCCTTCCGGCCAATACCGCGTCGCGCCGGCCGCCCGAGGTCGCGAGGGCGGGGCGTCGGCTGCACTCGCTCTCTCATTGGTCACTGCTTTTTCGTTAATAACTCGTTAACGATGCCTCGGCGAAAATTTTTGTAAAGGAAAAAGCTGCTTCAAATGACCTCGGGAACCTCTCACTTCCGGATTGCGAGACATTTTTGAGTATACCCTATATATTTCGTGGTAGTTTTCGTCGAACGATTACAAGAGATTCTGAGAGTTGACAGGTCAGATTTGGGATGTGCAATATTTACGCTATGCTTCCAAATATGTGATAGATCGGTGTTAACGTCTAGAGGGAGGTGAAGTGTGTGCTCAGTTCAATATCGATCGGGTAGGTACTGGATATAGTTTTTGTGGTTCATCGAGATTGTTCTCTCCTGTTCTCGGGCGGGCAAATCGATAAGGGGGACGGTGTCAGAGAATAGAGAAACATCGCAATTAATTAGAACGCGGGCAACGTATCGTGTTGTAATCTGCTTACCTATTACTGTTGCGGGCTGTTGTTCCGGCGACGGTGTAGAGGACAGTCGTCTGACCGCCTCCCTTCTCAAGAATTCTACCTTGGCCATTTCGGTGGCCACCCAGTGCGGTATGTCGGGTATCGCGCAGATTATGATGAACCGTATCGCCAGCATGATATGTTCCAGGGCGACGATCAGCAGGATCGTCTGGGTGGCCGACATCTCTGGGAACATTCGCTGCACTTGCCCGCTCAGTCCGATCAACGCGCAATTCACCAGTATCGCGACCAGTCCCATCGCCTCCATCGCGTTCTGAACAATTCAACGATTCAAGATGGATCGATTATTAACACATTTTTTCACGCGACATATAATATTTGCAAAACCGACAGTAAGGTTTTGATAACAAGCATACACGTTTCCCCAGAATTATGGTATTTCAAGGAAACGACGGGATTCCTGAGGTCATTCGAAGCAACTTTCTCCATAGCAAAAATGCGATCCGCGGCTTCGTTTACGAGTTATTCAAGAAAAACAGTGGCCAATGGGAAGCGGGCACGGCTGACGCTCCGCCCCCGCGACCACTGCCGCTGCGTCAAACGAACGGCGCGACGCGGCATTGGGCAGAGCGCCGGCCGCGCTTGCTCTCCGAGTGGTCACTGCTTCGACCGCTCGGCCGCCCGCCTAGCGCTAGGCGAGCTCGTCTCTCATTGGTTAGTGTTTTTCGTTAATAACTCGTAAGCATTCTCGCTAAGGAAAACGCTGTAAAAACGAGGCGCAAAGCTCGAATAATCGTGTGACTCAAATTGTCCATTTTTGTTTCCAAGTTGCAGGACAATTGCGGAGAATTTATTGTATTCGCAATATTAATTAGACGCTTCTACGCGAGATACAAAATCATGGCTGTCGCGCATGCGTTCTCGAGTCGCTCACCTGCCAAGTCCCGATGTTGGAGACCCTCCGACCGAACGGCCGCTGCAGAACGAAGCAGAGCTTGAAAGCGTCCCCGCGAAGCTCGAGCAGATTTCCGAGCAGGGCCGCCATGGCTGCCAGCGGGAACGCCGAGGAGAACAGGCATACGTAGCCGAGTTGCGACAGCATCTCCAAATGCTCCGAGAACGCTCCATCGTACTGCAAAAGATAAAACGGAAACGATCGCGTGTGAACGATCACGAGTCCGGGGCATCGTTCGAAATCGATCCTTGAAACGAAACAGCACGGTTAGTTGTTGTTGTTATTCATCGAGTCGAACACAGTTGCCGAGCTCGCAGCCGTTTTATCGTCGTCGAGAACGAGAGACGGACGCGTGTCGCACTACGTCGTACAAACGTACTTAACCTTGGTCTGAGCGCATCAATTAAAGTTACATAAAGCGGCGCGTGGGGCCCTCGACGGCCCACTCAAATCGAGTGGTAATCGAGGGACCTGTAAAAACAATACCGTAAAAAAATTGCGATGCTGTGACTCTTAATTGAAACTTAATTAATTAACACTATGCCGTCCGGTGGCACCACGCTGGGTGCCATGCAAAAACTATCTGTTGTATGCCGGTGGCACCACTTTGGTGCCATTTTAAAAAACTGATATAACATTTGAACTATATTTCTTGGGTGTTAAAAGGCAGCAAACTAACTATAGCATTGTGCTTATTTAACTAAGAATTAAGTACGAAAATTCTTGGATGACTTATCTTAATTTAGGAATTTATATTACCAAGCTATTATTAAAATTTCCAAGCTATTATGCCGGCGTCAAACGAAAGAATCATATCTAAGATCTGCGGGCGGCATAGCGTTAATTAACATTTCGGTAAAAAAAAAAGATAAAGTAACATCGTCGATTATTGAACAAATGGCTGGGCTGTATCGCGAACGCTCCACGCGCGCGGTTTCAGGATTAAAAGTCGCGATGATCCGACGATAAAACGGCAACGAGATCGGGACAATGGGAATATCGAGGTTAGCTCAGCGAAACATCCTCTATCACGTGTGTATAGTCAGTGTATCTAGCGTAGGTGGTGCAAGGGTCACTATGCTCGTTCGAACTAAACAAAAGAAGCCAGCGTTGAACATGGAGTCAGCGTGAAAAGCTGTGAATCTTGTGTCCAACCCTTTCAGTCATAGGTATTTACTGTAGGGGAAACGAATGTGAATTGTGAACGTGAACGACGATCCTGCGGTAATGAATCCTACGGATTTGATCAGGTTCGATCGGGATACGCAAATCATTGAAGCTGTATATCTACAGAGTGTCCCGAAAATGTCTCGCAATCCGGAAATGGACGGTTCCCGAGGTTATTTGAAGCAACTCTTTCCTTTGCGAAAATTTCCTCCGAGGCTTCGTTTATGAGTTATTAACGAAAAACTCTGACCAATAAGAGGTGAGCTCGGCTGGAGCGCGACGACCCAGCCAACGAGCGTGCGGAGTCCAGTTCCGCTCATTGGCTCGGCCGTCTCGCGCCAAATGATCTCGCCTCTGATTGGTCACCGTTTTTCGTTAATAACTCGTAAACGATGCATCGGATTGCATTTTCGCTAAGGAAAAAGTTCTTTCAAATGACCCAAGGAACCTCTCACTTTCGGATTGCGAGACATTTTTGGGACACCCTATATAGAAGAGGCCTTCGTGGTTCAAAGAACTCGAGAAGATTTTTTTGCTTCTTCTTTTGAATTCTTCTTCTCTGTTCAATCTGGTTCATCGCAAAAGCATAGCGATATCAATAGCAAGTTTGTTGCGCAACTACATTACCCCATTTTTCACTGAATTTGTCTCGAATAGCAGATCAATACTCGAAGCATGGTTAAATAATTATTTATTTAAATAATTGTTTCGTTCAGCACTTGTTTTCAACAATAAGCGTTTCAACTCTAGAACCACCGAGTCCTAAATCTGATCCAATGTATACCTACATTAGTTTACAGTAATTTAAAAATTGGATTTACGAAATTTCATCCTTTGTTTAATAATTTCAGCGAGCCATTAATAATAATATAGATAAAGGATGGCCAAATTTTGTCAATAACCTATTTGTGGGAGACGAATATCGTAGATCAGTCGATTTGGCTTGTTTTGGTAGTTCTAGCGTCAAGTTAGCATCGTTTGTTTTGGTACAGGAGCTTGAAGCGCGAGCTAGAAGAGCAGGATCAAGTTACCACGAGTTTTATGCGACAACTAAATTGCCTGATCAACCAGAAGTGCATCGAGAACTCGTGCAACCCGGAGGATTCACTACCGCAGACCATACTTCAAAAGGGGAGACTTCTCGAGAAATAAGCTCAAGAACAAGTAGGGTAAAGGTGCACCTATTACTGCGGAGTTTTTTTTCTATTAAGATTAAAATGCGTAGCAATTAATCTCTTCCCTTAAAAAATTTCTACAATTCAATAAGAATACATTCTAGCCGAGGAAACAGATCTATTGTTCAATCATTCTCATATTTGTCGTATATTAATGTTTGAAACAACAATTTTGTTCCTATTCTGGATACCGAAGAACTGTGAATAATTGTGTTTGAATAATTGTACATCCTGTATACTGCTCTAAACTGATCAGGAAAAAGGTTTTTTCTATTGTTTACATGCTTGCTTAATTATAGAAAAAAAATGTGAAAAGCAACTTTACTGGCATTGTTAACGAAACAATGATGTGAGTGTGAAATTAGGCGAATGAGATTATTACTGCGCCATAAAATTCAGTGAGGATGTAATGCTGCGGTAGTGCCATCTACTGAACATAACCTATGAGGCATGCTTCATCCAGCCTGATGTAATACCTAAGATAAGAACACAACGAAAAGCGTGAAGAAAATACAGACTCTAAAAAAGAAAAAAGGAAGAAGACTTAAAGAAGAAAAAGAAGGTTGCAGAAATGTGGAATGAATGAATTCAGATATTTTTCTTATCTCAGATTGCATCCCCGGAGTTCGCTCAATTTTCCTCGCATTTCGAAGTTTATTATTCTTTACAAGGAACCATGGAAGAATCGTTTTTCCATAAGAAATCAAGGGAACCGATGGAAAAAGTGCAAACAAGGTACAGTAAATTCTCTGCAATTGTCCCTCAGCCTGTACACAAAAATGGAAATTTTAGGAAGAGGAGATACACGGCTCGATTTACATTGTTGTTGACGATCGGCGATTATAAAAACGAGTCGCGAGAAGAATCGTGTCCGGGCGTCCGGCGATTACCGTTTTCAATACCGAGCTCCGGGCCTTCTAGAGAGAATTTACTGTGCACCGCAGTAATAGGTACCTCTACCCTGGGTACTATTGGGTTGGGAAATAAGTTCGTAGCGTTTTTATCAAGCAATTTGAAGGCGATTTTCTTTGTTGTTTTCGTTAAGTTCGCGAGGCACCCAGGCTTCCAATTTTTCGGCAAATCCCATTGAACGAAGATGATTGAGAATCGTTTTATGATCGCAGTTCATTTTTTCGGCCAATTCACGACTTGTTCGGTGACCGTCCTCCTTCAAAAGTGCTTCGAGATGCTCTTCGTCGAATTCAGAAGTTCTTCCGCTGCGGGGCGTTTCGTCGACGTCAAAATCGCCATCTTCGGACTTCGCAAACCATTTGCGTGCTGTAGACTCGCCTATGACACCTTCTCCGTATACGTTGCAAATGTCCCGGGCTGCTTCGGCAGCTTTTTGGCCTCGATGAAACACGAAGAAGAGAAAGTATCGAAAATGTTGCTTTTTTATTTCCTGGATATTCCATTTCTAAGCCTCGAAAGTAAAAAAAAATTAAATTACTCAAAAAGACGATTAGCACAGTTTTGTAGAGCAGAAAGAGCTCTGTCGAATGAATATTATACACTGTCAAACAGCAACAAAATCGTTGTAAAATAAAAGAAAGTATAAAAACGCTATGAACTTATTACCCAACCTAATAGGCTTCGGTATCGGGGATCCACCGTGTGCTGATCATTAACGTCGTCGACAAGACGTGCTTCGTTCGATCAACGACACGGTAAATTGAAAGGGTTAATTAGTGAAATGAGCGGTGATATTACCTTCTTGGTGAATACCTGCGGGTCGTCGACGGAATCGGTGGAGAAAACGGGAAAAGAAATGATTAAAACTCTGCAAAAAGAACCGATCAGACAGCACGGGAGAACATTCCTGGGTGTTTGTTTAGCTCTGCGTCGCCCGTCGTTCCTCTCGACGCGCGCGCGCGCGCGTGCGTAATAACATTGGAAAACGGGTTGCTCGCAAGGGGGAGTCTTTGCAAGGTTTTCAAACCGAACGGAACGATAACGAAAAAAATACGAAACTCGGCAAGCCAGGGATCGTTAGAGACGTATGGTTAACGGGTGACGATTAACAGAGTGACGATGTTCGAACATCACAGCGTTTGCAATCTCGGGGAGACATTCGACGGATATTAACCCTCGGGCGGCATGTTCAGAACAATCCTCAATTATATTCAGCAATTTTTCAAAATATATTTTCGAAGATATTTCTCGCAGATTCGTTCCATTCTTTCCGACGGCAATTTATTCGATTCAATTGCCGAAGCAATTAAGCAAATTAAATACTCCGAGTCAAGATCGACCGCCTTGCGAGGGTTAGAGTTCGACTGTCGAATTTGTGCTCATTTTATCAACGTTTACGGGGCTCAGAAATCTCTGTCGGGTTGACGGAAGATGAGCGGTCGTTCGAATTACAGTTGTCTCTTGCACGACTGCGGTGCGAGTCTCATTTGTTCGAGACAAACAATAATTACCGAAAGTCAATGTAAACGATAGCTTGGGTTTGTTCGCCGACGGTGGGCCGGAGGCGTCGAAAGTTTGTCACAGACTGATGCGATATTATGAGACCGGGTGTTCCGACTTGCAACTATTACAGTAGAAACGTACTAGTGTCATTGGTCGGCGCTAGCGGTCGGCGCTGGTGGTCGGCCTTCCCCCACTTACCGCTCCTTACCCGCGTCGCGCAACCCGAGCGGTGACGTCACGGTCCAGTTGTCCGACACTACCGCGTGACATCGGTGCGTTTCTAACGGATTCGAAGCAACCAAAATACGCGATTTTACGTGGCGTGACATTAGTATGTTTCCACGTTTACAAACACGGACGTTGCAGTCGACAGCGGATAGCGACACGGTGTCCGTTCGTCCTCCTGTCAACCGGACAGCACAGTGGCATGAGAAATGGTAGGAGAGCATCGTTTCACCGAAAAACTCGCGAACACTGCAACGTTCTGCGCGCGTGGATCGCAACGTGCGTCAGAAATCAAAGAAATTAGCTAAATCTAGACCAAACCTTGAACGTAACGTCACTAAGTAGAGAATTAGTGGGATGCCCTACTCTGTAGAGGGAACTTTCCAGCTCAGCCTGGCTGACGTTTCTCGGTTGCGTGCTCTTCCCGCTGTCGGACCGTTCGCTCTTGTCGTCCGGCTCTTTCCCGTTCTCGTCGTTCTCCTCGCCGGGCGGCGGCCTCGCCTCACTCGGGCTCAGCGCGCCGAAAAGCTCGAAGCTCAGACGGGCCAGTCGCAGCTGCTCGATCAGATACGGGACCGCCGATTCCTTCAGGTTACCGATCACCTGGCGGGCTATCAACAGAGCTGCCAGTTGCTGAAACGATAGGCAACCGTGTCAACGATAAATGCGGCCTCGAAACGCCTCGGACACACACTTCCGCTCGTCCCCTTTTCAGCTGTTTCTCGCGATTTCCTTAACCAGTTAAGTGTATTTGACGACTATATTCGTCATGGGAGATGTGGCAGAATTTGGTGTCGTGACGATTGTATTCGTCATTCGTAAAATTTTTGTTACAATTTGATATTTAAATTGTAATTCTGGCGAAAATTGAATTATATTCGTAAATTTTAATATGTTCAAAATGTTTAGAGGTCAAGACGAAATGAAACAAACAAATGAAAATTATAAATAATTTGAGTTGGATTCATCGCTTGATCGTTTGATTATCGCGACACGCACTGGTGGGAGCTTTGCAAAGAGATCGCCACAGTTAATTGGTTAATTACTAATTAATCGATCGAGTGCCATCAACGGACCTACATCTTTCTAATAAAACAGCCTGATATTTCCTGAAACGTTTCTTTCTTTTTTTGTTATTAACAGGCGATTCGTTGCAATTCGTGGCACTCGAACGATTAATTCGTCGGAAGCATCGCGAACGTACGTGCTAGTTCGATTCCTGTATCGCCTAACCTAGATCGCGCGTAGGTGAACAGTTTATTTAGGTGTAGTTGTACGGCAATAACTTCGTGTATTTCTTTCTTTCTTTTTTTCTTTGTTTTTTTTTCTTTCGTATTCATCTTGATTACGCTGGTCGCTATATCACCGCGGCAGTTGTTTATGAATGTGGGGAGAACTGTATATACGTCGGTTTTTCATATCGTAGAACACTACTAGAACTAGCTACGAAAAGAAATAGAGACAGACATACGAGTATAGTTCTCAAATGTACAAAAATTGACATACAATCGATCTATTGGTTAGCGAGATAAAATCTAATACCGACAAACGAGTGTCTACTGGTCGTTCGCCGGGGGTCGATGCGATTTCGAATTAATTCGACGCGATACCACGGACAATTCCGAAATATGTATCAAGCGTTCCGAAATGCCGGTAACAATTTCCGATTAACCCTTAACCCTTTCGCGCCGAGCGCCGCATATATGCGGCATCCACTCGACAACCTGTGGGCACGGGCGCCGCATACAGGGTTTCCCGAAAATGTCTCGCAATCGGGAAATGGAAGGTTCCCGAGGTCATTTAAAACAACTTTCTCCTTTGCGAAAATTTTCTGCGAGGCTTCGTTTACGAGTTAATAACGAAAAACACTGACCAATAAGAGGGGAGCTTGGCTGGCGCGCAGCGGCCCAACCAACGAGCATAAGGAGCCCAGTTCCGCGCCAAATGATCTCGCCTCTGATTGGCCACTATTTTTTTTTAATAACTCGTAAACGAAGCCGCGGATTGCATTTTCGCTAAGGAAAAAGTTGCTTCAAATCACCTCAGGAATCCCCTACTTTCGGTTTGCAACGCGAAGAATCGTTGCTACTGCATCGACCCCGGGAGAAGAACGGTTTCAAGTACGATGATAGAACGGGAGAAGAAAGGGGAAATTAAAGGGGACCCTTACCTCCTTTAGTCTCTCTTGATCTTGTAGGTAGAAGGCGATGTAAAATAGCGATAGGAAGGAGTTTACAAACTGAAACTGAAATACATAGTTCTCTTCTGTATAACCTCTATTCGTCGCGGTTGGTTCAACACACATACACGCTAGTAACGGCCGCCGCGGGAGGCCGCGGCGCTGCTCGGCAAATGTGCAAAGCGGGAACAATAAACACGGGTAAAAATATTAGGTTGGGGAATAAGTTCGTAGCGTTTTTATATTTTCTTTTATTTCACAACGAGATTTTGTTGCTGTTTGACAAAATGTATAATATTCATTCGACAGAGCTCTTTCTGCTTTACAAAATCGTCTAATCGTCTTTTCTAGTAATTTAATTTTTTATTACTTTCGAGGCTCAGAAATGGAATATCCAGGAGGTGAAAAGCAACATTTTCGACACCTTCTCTTCTTCGCTTTTCATCGAGGCCAAAAAGCTGCCGAAGCAGCTCGGGACATTTGCAACGTATACGAAGAAGGTGTCGTAGGCGAGTCTACAGCACGCAAATGGTTTGCGAAGTCCGAAGATGGCGATTTTGACGTCGACGACACGCCCCGCGGCGGAAGCCCTTTTGAATTCGACAAGGTGCGTCTCGAAACACCTTTGAAGGAGGACGGTCACCGAACAAGTCGTGGATTGGCCGAAAAAATGATCTGCGATCATAAAACGATTCTCAATCATCTTCGTACAATGGGATTTGCTGAAAAATTGGGAGCCTGGGTGCCTCGCGAGCTTAACGAAAACAATAAAGAAAATCGCCTTCGAATTGTTTGATAAAAACGCTACAAACTTATTCCCCGACCCAATAAATATGTAATAAATATATGTAACGAACGTTCTACGACACATCGAGATCGACAGGAGAGGCGCAAGCAGAAAAAAAGGTCTACGATCCCCTCCCCGCCGTGACGGGACGGGACGGAGAAAAAAAAACAAAGTTGAGATTTTTCCATGCGGCGACAGAGACAGCCAGAGCGAGCGGTTCGCTTTCGTTTCACTTTGACGATCGTCGAAACGACATGTGACGCGCGGTTACGGAGGCTCTAATTTCAAGTAACGCCGATGGTAGGTCCACCTCTAAATACCAGAATTCTGCAACGTGTTTCTATACCGATCGCCGATAAGTGGTGAAGAACGACGAACAACATTTTAACCTTGACGCTCTATCGAATAAATATTCGGCCGAATAAAAATGTGCCCGAATTGAAATTTAGCCGAGAAAGATCTCATTCGAATCAGAATTTATTTAAATACGATTTTATACGATTTTACAAAATGATTTTATTCGACTCGAAACGGTAGAATGTAAAGTGTCTTTTTCATTGGTCGTCGATTTATTTTGTAATTGAACTGTAAATATATTCCGATATAATTACGGAAAAACCGAAACAGTCCACGCTTGTTCGCATTATTATTTTCGAATAATTTTACGGTCTCTAGTCGAATGACTTATTCGAATAAGTAATTATGCAAGTAACTTATTCGAATAAATAATTATACGAATAATTTATTCGAATAAATAATTATATGAATGATCGTTATTCGACTAAATAATTATATGAATGATCGTTATTCGACTAAATAATTATGCGAGCAATAATTACTCGAATAAAGAATTATACGAATAATAATTATTCGAATAAATAATCATACGAATAATGGTTATTCGAATAAAGAATTATACTAATAATAGTTATTCGAATAAATAATTATAAGAGCAATAATTATTCGAATAAATAATCATACCAATAACGGTTATTCGAATAAAGAATTACGCGAATAATTCACAACGTTAGAAACGTTCGACAAACGCATGCGGTGTAAATAGACCCCGACAAAAAAAAAGAGAAGAACCGAACGTTTCGTCGGAACAGGACACGAGTCGACGAGAGAGAGAGAAAGGACGCGGAACAAGTGTCGATTAGAGGAGGACACGAGAGATTCTCAAATTTCTCAAAACATAACGACACAGCGGACACTCGCGCCACACGGCCGGCCACGCACGACGAACATACAGACAAACTATATTCGTGGTAAATGGAGTGTTCATCTTATTACCAGTGCCACTTTGTAGATCAGATGATTCTCGTACTCGGTGTCTAGCCGATAGTTTTCTGCGTCCAACACACAAAAATCACAAATACTATCTACTGTAACATGACCACTCTCCGGTATGTAATAACGGCAACGGAGATTTAAAAAAAAAAGAAAGGAAGGACAATGTAAGAGAAACTGAAACCGTTGTGAAGAGAAGGGAGAGAATAGAAGAGAAGAAGAAACAGTAGAAAGAGTAGTTCGATATAAGAATAGACACATAAAATGGTTTCTAGAATGACTCTCGTTTCGTTGGTGTATTATTTACTTGGAGCCAGGCTTGGGGAAAAATCGATTCTCAAAATGACAGATGGACTTCTCATGCGATAAAGAATTTGGCGAATAAACTTTTTTTTGCTTAAATAATACTTCAAATGTGTATTTTAATGGTGGATTGTAGAAATACTATTCGGAAAGACGTATTTCGTTGAAATAGAAGAAAGTAATATTTCGTTGAAATATAAGCGATTAACGTTTCATTGAAATACAATGAAAATAATATTACATTAAAATATAGAAGAAAATAATATTTCATCGAAATATCAACAGTTCACAGTGTAGTACATTTAATGAAATAATATTTTCCAATAATTTGAACATTTAACGGAGCAATATTTTCCAATAATTTGAACATTCAACGGAGCAATATTTTTCAATAATTTGAACATTCAACGAAACAATATTTTCCAATAATTTGAACATTCAACGAAACAATATTTCCATTAAATGAAACAGTACTTCCAAATAGTATCTACTGATGCAAATATTTTTTTTACTGTTTCATACGAAATCATTTTCAACTTTTCCCCAGCCCGTTTGGAACACATTCGGAACGGCAACGCATCTATCCGGAACATTTTCCTTCCACTGACCGTCGGGGACGTCTATTCGTTTCGCGTCACGTTACAGTCGGCAATTATTCCGACGCTTACAGCACAAGATTCAAGACCGTTGATCACACCGAGCCTGGCACGACGAGCTAATTGGATCATGCCGTCCGGAATGCGCAAACCCTTTCAAGACCGGATAATATAAGTACGTACGTAGCAAGTTAACTGTTACGAATTAACTACCTGGATGCTTGCTTAAACTCCGCAATGGGATTCATAAAACAGCGTACTCCACATCGCAAAGTTTCCGTGCATCCTAGTGCGTCTAAATACAAAATCAACAGAACGAGATACAGTCAAACAATTCCTTAACGCGATTCCTTCATACCTCGCCGTATCGTTCGCTTCGCGATGCGAAGTTCGCCGCTTTCGGCGCAACGTGACTATGGTAGTCGTTGAACGTTCTCACGGGGAATAACGGGTCGGTCGAGTTTGCGCGCGGTTTTAATTTCCATCGAAGCTTCCCGCGTAATAATTGCGTAATTCCCGCGTAATTATCCGTTTCGCGCGTCTAATAAAGCGACGATTTCTCTTTGAAGACCGTTGGACAAATCGGATCGGAAATATATTATAATTTATACTCCTGTAATACAGGGTGTCCCAAAAATGTGTCGCAATCCGGAAATGGCGCGATCCTCGGATCATTTGAAGCAACTTCTGCCTTTATAAAAATGTTCTCCGAGGCACCGTTAACGAGTTATTAACGAAAAACAGTGACCAATAAGAATCGAGTACGGCTGACACGAGGCGGCCCGGCCAACCAGCGCGCGAAGCTCAGTTCCGCTCATTGGCTCGGTCGCCTCGCGCCAGCCGAGCTCGCCTCTCATTGGTCACTATTTTTCGTTAATAACTCGTTAACAGTGTCTCGGAGGAAATTTTTGTAAAAGAAAAAGTTGCTTCGAATGACCCGAGGGATCCGCCACTTTCGGATTGCGAGATATTTTTGGGACAGCCTATATATTACATATTTCGAAAAAATTGATCACTTTATCGCGAATTTAATCGTACAAAAAAACATGTTTCTCTTTAACTTTCCGCGCCCCGTAGTTTCCGAAAAATGCATCACTTTATCACAAATTTAATTGTACAGCAAAACGTGTCGAACGATGCTCGTTCAAAGAAAAAATTGATTGCTCGCACGGAGCAGTTATCGCGCGGGAAATTCAAACCGTGATAAGAACCGTACGGACTTCCGACCGGACCTGATAATTTCTATGAACGAAGATGCTCGATAAAGCGAGGTGTCGAAGAGGAAGTCTAGNGTCACGTTACAGTCGGCAATTATTCCGACGCTTACAGCACAAGATTCAAGACCGTTGATCACACCGAGCCTGGCACGACGAGCTAATTGGATCATGCCGTCCGGAATGCGCAAACCCTTTCAAGACCGGATAATATAAGTACGTACGTAGCAAGTTAACTGTTACGAATTAACTACCTGGATGCTTGCTTAAACTCCGCAATGGGATTCATAAAACAGCGTACTCCACATCGCAAAGTTTCCGTGCATCCTAGTGCGTCTAAATACAAAATCAACAGAACGAGATACAGTCAAACAATTCCTTAACGCGATTCCTTCATACCTCGCCGTATCGTTCGCTTCGCGATGCGAAGTTCGCCGCTTTCGGCGCAACGTGACTATGGTAGTCGTTGAACGTTCTCACGGGGAATAACGGGTCGGTCGAGTTTGCGCGCGGTTTTAATTTCCATCGAAGCTTCCCGCGTAATAATTGCGTAATTCCCGCGTAATTATCCGTTTCGCGCGTCTAATAAAGCGACGATTTCTCTTTGAAGACCGTTGGACAAATCGGATCGGAAATATATTATAATTTATACTCCTGTAATACAGGGTGTCCCAAAAATGTGTCGCAATCCGGAAATGGCGCGATCCTCGGATCATTTGAAGCAACTTCTGCCTTTATAAAAATGTTCTCCGAGGCACCGTTAACGAGTTATTAACGAAAAACAGTGACCAATAAGAATCGAGTACGGCTGACACGAGGCGGCCCGGCCAACCAGCGCGCGAAGCTCAGTTCCGCTCATTGGCTCGGTCGCCTCGCGCCAGCCGAGCTCGCCTCTCATTGGTCACTATTTTTCGTTAATAACTCGTTAACAGTGTCTCGGAGGAAATTTTTGTAAAAGAAAAAGTTGCTTCGAATGACCCGAGGGATCCGCCACTTTCGGATTGCGAGATATTTTTGGGACAGCCTATATATTACATATTTCGAAAAAATTGATCACTTTATCGCGAATTTAATCGTACAAAAAAACATGTTTCTCTTTAACTTTCCGCGCCCCGTAGTTTCCGAAAAATGCATCACTTTATCACAAATTTAATTGTACAGCAAAACGTGTCGAACGATGCTCGTTCAAAGAAAAAATTGATTGCTCGCACGGAGCAGTTATCGCGCGGGAAATTCAAACCGTGATAAGAACCGTACGGACTTCCGACCGGACCTGATAATTTCTATGAACGAAGATGCTCGATAAAGCGAGGTGTCGAAGAGGAAGTCTAGCTTGAAAGGGTTCGTAAAGTGGAGCAGAGAAGAACATTGGTGTGTATGATCGGCAGGAACCGTTCGATCGGTTGTATCGATTGATCGGGTACGTGTATAGTTCGGATTGTTACTGTCTAGAAGAAGCTAAGCTGTGAAAGAGAATCGGAAAAAGTATATTTGTATATAATATTATATATATATAAATATATAAATTATACAAGATGTCTCAAAAGTCACTCGAAATCGCGAAAGGAGGGGTTCTTAACAGTGACCAATCGGAGAGCGAGTGCGGCCGGCGCTGCGCCCAATGTCGCGTCGCGCCGTCCACGTTGCGCCGTCCGTCTGGCGCAGCGGCAGCGCTAGGCGAAGGCGGAGCGTCAGCTGAGCTCGTCTCTCATTGGTCACTGTGTTTTCGTTAATAACTCGTAAACGACGCCTCGGAGAAAATTTTCGTAAAGGAGAAAGTTACTTCAAATGACCTTAGGAATCAGTCTGTTAACATAATTATGGGACATCCTTTAGTCTTTAATCTGCAGCACAGAAATTCGGAATAACGATAATAATTCGTAAACGAAGCCGCGGTTTGCCTTTGCGCTGAGGAAAAAGTTGCTTCGAACGACCTCGGGAATCCCTCGTTTCCCGATTACGAGTGACTTTTGGTACAACCTGTACGTATATATGCTAGGCTCTTGGAAAACTATACGTGCATAGTGTCTCGGTGATTGTAGAACGAAGTCGATGCGAGGGAGAAAGAATGTATGTCGATCTTATTCGCGGTTCGCGCGGGGGTCGAATCGGTGTCGCGGGAGTGATCAAGACTATGGGAGAGACCGGCGATTACGGTTTACGTTCCGTTCGTTCGTTTTCTTTTTTCCTACGGATTCTCGTACGTACCCATGTCGTTCAGCCAAACGGCGACCTTAAAGTAAGCCTCGTCCATTAACGCTATTACCACGGCGAGCAGAACTTTTGGCACGTAGCTCAGCCAGAACCCGTATCCTCCCGCCTCCAGACGGGCGTCCCACCAATCCTGAAAGTATGCCGACAATGTTAATTAGCCGCGTCGGCTCGCTCTACGGACGCGCAGCTCTCGGCTCCTCCGACCAGGATGCTCTCGCGTCGCTTCGTTCTCGCGGCTGTTCGTTCGGCTCTATCGATCGACGCAATTTGTCCTATTCTTTTCTCGTCTTTCTTCCTTTAACACGACGTTCGCGTACAGTCGAACTTTTAATTGGCTGCAATAAATAGACCAGGTGATTCGTTCTTACAGGCTAATCGGGGTAACCAAATTTTTCGTTGCGCACTTTTACACACCGAGTGCTTCGAATTAATTAGTTAAATAGTTAATTAGTTAATAGTTATTAATTCATTCAGTTTCGCATTTTTCGAGTAAAACGTTTCGAGTTTTAGTTCCGAGTAAAAATAAGACTAAAATGTAATATATTAAAAAGTCCATAAATGCTTTGTTTAAGAACTCGTGACGAAAATATAAAATATGATTTAAATATGTTATAATAACAAGAACGCATCTTTGCGTCGAATCTAATATAGTTAATAATAGTTGTATAAGCTAATATAGTTACATATTTAATAGTTATGTAACAGTTATACATATTTAACAGTTACATAACAATTATATATTTTAACAGTTATGTAACAGTTATACATATTTAACATTTATATAACAATTATATATTTTAACAGTTATATGATAGTTACATATTTTAATAGTTATATAACAGTTATATAATAATAGTTATACATCTTAATAGTTACATAATCTTAATTGACTGAATGCTGAGGAAGCAATAATTATTTTAAAAAACTGATCTTAAGATTTGCCATAAAACCTGACATAAATATAGGAAAATCTTTTAATATCTCGTACCGTGGAACCGCATCGGTGCAAGTTTCGCCGAAAGCGAAAAAAGCTCGATGCATCGTTTCGAGGACGGTAATGATAAATCGATGCGGGGCCATCTTTGGACCGTGTTCAACCAGACTCTGTTTGCCAGAATGCGCGACACCTTTTTTCCGCGAGACTTTTGTTCGGCGTCGCCTGGTACCCGCGGACACAAGACGCAAAAACGTGCTTTTACGTTACCGACACGTTGCCGAACTTCCTACCGGTTTTTCGCGGCGCCGCGCCGCAGGACTTTAGCCTGAAAACTTCGCGCGCCCCGATGTACCAGGCACGTTGCCAGATACAGAAATCAGTGCAAACATTTCTCTTCGACGATTCTGTTCCGCGATTCGATAACGATTCGATACGATTTTGCAGTTCAGTGGATTTTTATACAGATTTGGTTGAATCTGATTTTGGTTAAAATTTAATTCGATTAAATTTTAATGTAATTTAATTAAACAGTTTTTGAAACGTTTTAATGTTATATTGTTATACTGTTATACTGTTATACTGTTATATTGTTATACTGTTATATTGTTGCACTGTTATATTGTTATACTGTTATACTGTTATACTGTTATATTGTTATACTGTTATATTGTTGCACTGTTATATTGTTATACTGTTATACTGTTATACTGTTATATTGTTATACTGTTATATTGTTGCACTGTTATATTGTTATACTGTTATACTGTTATACTGTTATATTGTTATACTGTTATATAGTTGTACTGTTATACTGTTATACTGTTATACTGTTATACTGTTATATTGTTATATTGTTATATTATTACATTATTATTAATATAATTAGCGGTAGCGATTCGTTTACCTGTATCTGGAAGCTCAGGATCATCACGATGAAAACGAAGAAGAGGCACGCGGCGATGACGGGAACGCTGACGAAGTACCGGAACATGTTCCTTTTCCATCTAGGATAAGTCGGCTCCAGTCTTCCCGTCACAGACGAGATCTCCAAGGTGCCCTGTACCGAGAAAAGAAGAAAGAAAAACCAGAAGAAGAAGAAGAAGAAGAACAAGCAGAGAGAAATCTTAAGTGGCAGGGAAAAGCGAATCGGAAGGGGACCCGTCGTGACTCTCTATGATCGATTGGAAAAAGCTCACCGTGAATAAAGGCCTAGGCTCGACAAGTAGGTCGTCTCTTTGATCCAAGGTGCCCCACCTGTAGGCCAGTTCGGCGCCTCTTCTTTTCCAGGTTTCCAGATAAACGGTGGCCCAGATCACGTTGAAGACGGAGAACAGAACGTACGCTACGTCCTCCACCGCTTGATTCCTACCGATGATGCCGACCTGCGTCGACAGAGTTCCAGTATCAGAGTTCGACAAGTTTCCAGAAGTTCGGTCGACGACCGACGGTCGATCCGATTCGATTAGTCTATTAGCGGACTGCGGATTTTTTATACGAAACAAAAATTGGTCCACGTTCGTTGCAAAAATTGGGTGTCGCTTGGGAACTTTTTCTTTTTTTTATGTATTATATATTTTATAATAATATACAGGGTGTCCCAAAAATGTCTCGCAATCTGAAAGTGGCGGGTTCCTCAGGTCATTTGAAGCAACTTTTTCCTTTACAAAAATTTCCTCCGAGGCACCGTTAACGAGTTATTAACGAAAAACAGTGACCAATGAGAGGCGAGCTCGGCTGGCGCGAGGCGACCGAGCCAATGAGCGGAACTGGGCTTCGTGCGCTGGTTGGCTGGGCCGCCTCGCGTCAGCCGTACTCGATCTTATTGGTCACTGTTTTTCGTTAATAATTCGTTAACGGTGCTTCGGAGAAAATTTTTGTAAAGGAAGAAGTTGCTTCAAATAATCCGAGGAACCCGCCATTTCCGGAATGCGAGACATTTTTGGGACACCCTGTATATATATATTCTATTTACAATTTTATTTACCCAATATATGGCACCCACAGCAGCCGGAACGATTAAAGCGGTGGTGTAATGTCCGAGCCACGCGAAATACATAGTAATCTTTACTCCGAAGTATTTACAAATGTCGTCCAAGGGCTGAGGACTGAGAAACGCGCGGACCCATGTCCGCTGCAGCTTCTCCAACGCAGGCAATTCGTGAAGAGGGAAGACCTGTTACGGTCGAACAGAACGTCGGTATTTTAATTATCAACGATTGCATCAATTCCAAGGTGCAGCAGCTACTTTGTTCTCTTTTTATTCACGCGCGTATTAAGAAATTCTTATCCGAGCGAATTTTTATTCGAATGAATTCTTATTCGAGTGAACTCTTATTCGAATGAATTTTTATTCGAGTGAATTCTCTATTTGAATAAATTCTTATTCGAGTAAATCCTTATTCGAGTGAACTCTTATTCGAATAAATTAATACTTATTCGAGCGAATATTTATTCCAATAAATTCTTATTCGAGTGAACTCTCTATTTGAATAAATTCTTATCCGAGTAAATTCATATTCGAATAAATTCTTATTCGAGTGAATTCTCTATTTGAATAAATTCTTATTCGAGTAAATTCTTATTCGAGAGAACTCTCTACTTTTGTGTGTGTGTGTGTGTGTGTGTGTGCGTGTGTGTGTGTGTGTGTGTGTGTGTGTGTGTGTGTGTGTGTGAATAAATTCTTATTCGAGTGAACTCTCTTATTCGAATAAATTAATACTTATTCGAGTGAATATTTATTCCAATAAATTCTTATTCGAGTGAATTCCTTATTTGAATAAATTCTTATTCGAGTGAACTCCCTATTTGAATAAATTCTTATCCGAATAAATTCTTATTCGAGTGAACTCTCTATTTAAATAAATTCTTATTCGCGCGCGAGTAAATTCATATCCGAATAAATTCTTATTCGAGCGAATTTTTATTCCAATAAATTCTTATTCGAGTGAACTCTCTATTTGAATAAATTCTTATTCGAGTGAACTCTTATTCGCGCGAGTGAACTCTTATTCGAATGAATTCTTATTAGAGTGAATTCTTGTTGCAATAAATTCTTACTCGAGTTCAATTGACTACCAGTGAATAAATAATGCATTAATAGGGATAGTTTAAAAAACCGACATTTTCGCGCTTTTTGAACAGAAATAGACCACTGTGCGCCGTCGCAACCACGTTACCTGAGAAATGATCCCAGAAGAAATGCACTTTGGAATAATTGCTTGTCCTTCTACCATCTTAAGACCGGGCAGACTGTGGAGGTCCTGCGATCCCGCTCTGAGCGTGTGCAGCAGGTGCAGGACCAGGGACTGCCTTTCCTGAGTAGTGAAGAATTGAGCTTCGTCGTCGCTACCCTCGAAGCAACTCGCCTCGGAGCCCACGAACTCTTTCAGACCTCCGCCGAACTCCTGGCGCAGTGTCTTTGGCAAATGCACCTCCTCGGCGGCTTTCAACAATCTGTCGAACACGTCAACTTCACGCGACAAGCCTAATTTCCAGCTGCGCTCGAGTCGGGTTACGTTTTTACACCGACAGAGCAACCTCTTCGAAAATTCTTATTTCACGCTTAAGAAGAATGGAAGAATAGATTATAAATTGTAGAATATTTATTTATTTAGAATTATCTTTTTAGATAATTATCTTTAATTTGCTAATTATCTTTTATTTGGAATTATTTTTTTAGAATATTTATTTATTTAGAATTAGATTATAAGATATTTTATTTTATTTATTGAGCGATGAACGTATATCGATAGATTTCTTGGAAAATATATCCTTTTTATTTCTATATTTGATATAAAAATCGTCGGTACGTAATTTCTCTTCGTGGGGAAAATAGCTTAGCGGTGTAGGGGGTGTTCACCCTTATGGTCGCATCGATTTTTGAGGCATTTGCGCTAATCTGACGAAAAAATGTTTGGAATAAAAGTTAACTAATACTCCGAGGAGAACAAAGAGCAGTAATAAAAATTTCGAAAAATCTTATATTCGATAAAAACCTCATAAGGGATGACCTTCGAAAACGGCGTTCTTTCGATCTCGGTGCAAAATCGGTGCGAAACCAGTGTAAAATCAATGTCGAGGTCGATCCTCATCTCATTTCTATTCTTGTTGCCGTCTATTATGCGACTGTTGTCTCGGTTACCGGTATTCTTATCGAAGAATCACGTGAGACAGTAGGGGCGTGGGCGCGGCGGAAACAGCGCACGGTATACTTACACGCTAAAAGGGGCTGTTAAGTAAAATCCGTAACTATCCGACGAGGCGTGGTGTCGAACGTGAACAACTAGGCCCGGGGTCCCAGCCCGAAGTCGGCCTAGAAGCCACATCAAAGTCTCGTCGCTCGCTCCACTCGGGAACATCACTATGACGTCGCATTCCTGTAACAAACAATGATATCAGCGTTCGACGCGTTCGCATCTGTCCAAATGATTATCGAATAATTTTAGTAGAGGTACATAAGGTTATATGAGATTATGTATGTATCTGTTTTCTCTCGATTTTTTACACACTTATGTTAAAATAATATATTAATATAATAAAGTTTATATTAATATACTAATGCACCAACGTATACAGTGATACAATTTATAACAATAACAACATATAAAAGCTATTTGTTTCTAGTTCTAAGTTATCGTGCCGATAAATAAAATTATTATTATTATTATTGTTTATACACTGCTCGAAACAATTATTCCATGGTCAAATCTTGGATAGAAATTGGCCCAACTTCTATCGACGATAACTCCGCGAAAAATCATCGTAGGATGATCACTTTTTTCTAAATTGAAGCTCGAAACCTCTGCTTTAAGATAGTGTTCTTCGATTTTAAGCTCGACGCGCCCTCGCCATCGTAACTATTTAAATGTGAGGCTATGTTTATCGAAAATTGCAGTGCTTGCCACATTGAAAATTGCGAAGTTTGACGAAATGCACGGACTTGGTACAATTTTTTTCGGGGATATCGCTTGCAGCAGCATAAAGTTTCATCCTTCCCCTTTAATTTAAAAAAAAAGGAAACGAGGCTGCGATTTCTTCTCGCAGAGTTACAGCGCTTTGAAGCAACCCTTGCATTTTCTAGAAAAAGAATTAGGGAAAACTGTTACGATACAAATGAAACTAATAATTAATTTGTTTTTATTTATTTTATAAATATACATTTTCCTATTGTAAATAAAAGATAAATTTTAAATTCTGTAATTCACCATGGTGCGATATCTTTGGTAACAATCTCCCATGTGCATTCTGGGTTTACTTGGACAAGTGTCACAGTATTCACTTTGCCAAATAGAGTTACCAGATATTTCTTTTAAGTTTAGAACATTTTCTGCGTAATCGTTGGTTTCCTTTATAATTTCATTTACCGATTCGTCCGTGAAAAATAATTTAAAATATTGTATCGGCTGTTCAATGTTAGTAAGAACTTGTGGTCAAACGACCTGTGGCAATACGCTAAAAGGTATTCTATCTGGAATATGTAATTCTTCCGTAACATCGCGCCATTCGTTTAAGTCTTGTAACGAATCTTCGCTTTCGCTTTCAATAATTCTCATTCTTCGTCTCTTTGTTAGTATAATTTCGCTGCTACTACTCGAAGCGTCAGAATCATAACCAACATTGTCTCCCACAGTCTTCCAACTCTTCAAAATCAAATATGTCTTCGGTATCGCTCGGCTCTAAATTCTCATCGTAATATTTATGTTTCTCCGTGTTGCTAACCATAGAAAAGGTCAAGAAATGGTTGAATCGTAATGGTACGATGAATCGTAATTAGCCGACGATAACGTATGCTAAAAACATTTGGCTCCGCAACGGAGTCTTCGGAGTTACGGAACAAATGACAAATGTCTCCGTAGCGGAGCCTTCGGAGCGCTAATGGTTGAAGCAGTTTCGTTTACAGTATCGTTTATTGTTCAATATTCTTGTCCAGGATGTCCGCGCGGAAAAGCAAATTGTTGATCGGGGCGCTATTGTAGAGAGACGTCGGTTGACAAAGCGAAGTTATTTCTCAGAGAGACCGTAGATCGAACGCCGGAACCGGCGAATTCTGGCGCAACGAGGCGACGTCGTTTGGCCTGGCCCTATTCCAAACGGCGGCAGCCTGCCTCGGTATTGCCAATCCATGTGCAACGATATCCTGACGGCGTGCCTGACCTAATAGCGCCGCCGAAATTCGCTTCGACGATCGTCCTGCCGACCGTTCACCGATCTGGATTGTACAGGCTGTCCCAAAACTGTGGGGTTCCTGAGGCCATTTGAAGCAACTTTTTCCTTAGCGAAAATGCAATCCGCGGCTTCGTTTGCGAGTTATTAGCGAAAAACGCGGACCAATGAGAGTGCGAGTGCGGCCGGCGCTCCGCCCTCGCGATCACCGCCGCTGCGTCAGACGTCCGGCGTGACGCGCCATTGGCCGCAAGGGCGGAGCACCGGCCGCGCTCGCTCTCCGATTGGTGACTGTTTTTTCGTTAATAACTCGTAAACGAAGCCACGGATTGCATTTTTGTAAAGGAAAAAGTTGCTTCAAATGACCTCGGGAACCCGCCTTTCCGGGTTGCGGGATATTATTGGGACGTCCTGTGAACAACACCTGCACGTTTAATCTTGTGGAGCCGGTGACGTAGCAGCAATGTCATTAGGTTCGCGCTGGAATTATGCCAAACCTGTTCCACGTTTTTTTTATCGGCAACTGTATTAAAATCTACTAACTTATTTAATCTATTTAACTCCATTAACTTTTAAATGATTAAACCATAAAACTTTAATGTGAAATTAAATGTGAAATTAATGTAAAATATAATTATTTTACAGCTTACATTAACTTTGTAAACTGTTCAATTATTATTAATATCATACTACACTCACGGTACAACATTATATTAAATTTCACGTGTATAACCGAAGCGAGAACGAGGTCCAATATTTTCCCCGAGGTTCTCAATCGAAAATCGATGCCTTTGTAACGAAAAAATTAGTTTAACCGCGGAAAATGACAATTTCCGTTTTCCGTTTTTCTGAATCACTCGCACGAACGAACGGACGATCGCCGACGAGTAGAACTCGACCGGGAAAAAATTCTCGAGAAATTTAAAGAAAAAAAAGAAAGAAACGACAACAAAATGTTTCCCAACAGGGGAGGTAATCCGCGGCGCGTGTGGTTGGCATGGAAATTGTCTTGGCTCGTAATACTCTCAGGTATACATAACAGGTCAGCAATAATCGAAAAGGTCAGCTCATAATGAAATTATATTCCTCTCGCAGCAACGGAGCGGAACTAAAGCAACCGTCAATGGTCGACGGCGATGCGAGCGTTGATAAAAGAGGAGAGAGAGAAAGAGAGAGAGAGAGAGAGAGAGAGAGAAAGAGCGATAGGGAGTGAGAGCGATAGGAAGAGAGAGCGAGAGAAAGCGATAGGGAGTGAGAGCGAGAGAGAGAGCGCGCGAGAGAGAGTGCTCAAGAGAGAGAGCGTGAGAGAGAGAGCGCAAGAGAGCGAGCGAGAAAGAAAGAGCGCGAGAGAGAGAGAGAGAAAAGGAAATACATACATTCGTAGGTTGCAGAGAGACGTGTCGAATGACACGGTGTGCATAGGCACCTGTTGCAGCAGCACCCCGTTTCACTTTTGCATTTAATGTCGAGAGCAACAACTCGGGAAAGACTAAGAGTCCAAGCGCGGCCTGTTCGCAACGCTTGTCGCCGCTGTACGACGTAACAATTTTAGAAAATAAACGGCGGTTAAGGGACCCGTTGCCCGCGACGCGATCGGCGATTTATTGCTGCGAGCCTCTCGACGAACGATACGGTCTAAATTAATTGCGCGCCGGCGAGGGGAGGGGGCTCGCAGTTTTCAGGTGTTAAAACGCTGTTTGCCCTCAAGATTCTACGATATTTACTTAGGAATCGAATCGCTTATCAGCGACAGCATGCGTAATTAAAAATTAAACAGAACTGTAATTAAACGTAATTTGAAGTAGATATAATTAAGCGTAGCTTGAAGTGTACGTAATTAAACGTAACTTGAAGTATACACAATTAAACGTAACTAAGTTTATACATAATTAAAATTATACACAATTGAAATCATATATAACTGAAATTATGCACAACTAAAATTATGCACAACTAAAACATTGTGTATAACTAAAATTATATCTTTAGTGTACTGAACAATAGTAACAATAACACAATCTTTTTTTAACAGACCTGGAACTTGATTTTTTAACTATTCAGTCTCTAGTCTATTAAATAAATTACATTTGATATGCATTCACATGATTCAATAGCG